TTCCACCCCCAGGAATCCAGGGAGCTGGCCAGAGCATTCCAGGAGCCCTGTGCCATCCTGACTATCACCTGGCCAAACCTTGCCATCTACCCAGGAAAGGTGCTGGAGCCAACGCTCCGGCAAACAGCTCCGATTATGGATTATTTCTGATCCTCGTGCCACTGAGGAGGAAAAACTGTGACATCTAGTGCCAGTGGGGAAAATGACACATTTTCCATGGACACCAGGAGAGAGATGAAGGGGGATGTGGGGTGTTGCTGCAGGCACTCCTTACATCACTTTCTCCTTGTCCTTGGAGATTAGTCGGGTCTTATCAGCGGCTGGAGCATTCCCGGTGCCAGAGGATCAGGGTAAATTGGAGTCAAAACACATGAACTGCTATAGAAAAGCATCCGAATGCCCGGCTCAAGGGTGACAAGGACTATATTGAGTTCTCCAGCAGGCTGAGGGAATTACCTTTTCACACTGAGATTTCAGCTAATATGCTAATCTTGGGAACAAAGGCGCCCTCGGTGGAGTTTGGAGGGGGTGTCACCGAGCTCCAGGTCGTGTCTCCAGCACAGCAACGGCACCAGCACAGTGTGTTGGATCCACTGCTGAACTCCAGCCCTGCTCACTGCTCTGTGCTCACCCAATTCCTGACTCTTTCAGGTATTTCCCCATCTTAGCACAGCCACAGAGCCCCATCAGAGGCTCAGGTGACAGGCAGGACAGAGGCTCCCAGGACACCCATCATCCCTGGACACTGTCAAACAGGCTGAGGTGCTGCATTCTTCCAAACCCTGCCCTCCAATAGTAGCACACAAACACCTCTACCCCACATACCTGATGAAGATCTCAGCCAGAAACACCAAAGACTGAGGGAAAAAAAGGCTTCCACTTATTTAAAAAAACTAAATTAGCAGAAAAGTTAAGTCTTGTAAACAAATGGTGCTATAACCTATGTTATAACCCTGGATAAGTATCAAGTTGTGGGATGAACTTCATGTTTCCTTCCTAAAGACATTTTGGAGTAAAATGCATAAAATTACCAATAACTACAAGTGGATTTTTTTTCCTTCCACCTATATAAACTCTGGACATTTCAACAATCCATATCCATCTTGAGATTCAGACTGGAGTCAGACTGAGCATCCACTTCTGGTGCTTAGTTCTTGATTTGCTCAGAATTGTACAATAAATTACACCCCATTTGTCCCAAAGTCTGTTCAGCCATTACTCAGGAGCTATCGACTGATTCTGCTGATAAAACACTGTTGTCTTCAGCTCCCTCCTGTACCTGCTGCTCTGGGAATTATTTACAAACTGTTCTCAGCTTCTTAGTGTGGCACATTCAGTCTTTCTTCCAGAAATCCTATGGGAGCAGCCAGATCTTATTGGAAGAGTCTCACAGGTGAGCAGGGGGGTCAAAGCAGTCAGACTGGTAATAGAGGGGACATACCCCAAAAAAAAAAACACAACCCAAACCAAAAAAGGAGTAACTAGAGGCCAGGATCCAGTTCACAAGCATAACACGAAGGATCCAGAACCAGCAGAAAGCTCCAGACAACATCCAGGATTCTTTACAGGCTAAGAAAAACTCTTGGATAGTGAAAGACCTTGAGAATTCCCATTTCACAGATTTTCCTGAAAACACAGATGGATGAGCCAGTTTTGCCCAGCCTGCTGCTTGTAAACCCTGTGAGGACAGGGAGAATCCCAGCCTCAAGCTCCTGCTCTTCCCATGTCAAGGTAGGGATTGCAGCTCTGGCCGAACACACTGACCACAAATCTCCTGGGTTTGATGCTGGTTTCTCAATTTCCCCTGCCAGCTCAAGCACTGAGGGCACTCAGCTCAGCTGAATGCTTTCAGAGGAAGAGTGTCTTGACTCCTTTTCACACAGAGGAAGTGTAGCTGTCAGGAAAGCCAAGCCCTGGCTCCCAGCAGCCAATATCCCGTCAGGGTTCCCTCTGGCAGTGGGGGAATGGCTGGGTCTGAGTCTCTGATCCAAAACAAGGAGAATGCTCATAGGAACCTAAATGCACTCAACAGCAGCTACCTTTACCACAGACAGGAGTTTCCAACACAAATTTCCTCTTTACTAAGAAACACATGATGGACAATCTCTCCAAAGACTTTGGGTTCAGAAAATCAGCAACTTGCGCTGGGAAGAAGGAAAAATAATAATGAAAAATCTCACATTTACTTGGGAAGTTCCTACTTCACCTGTCACCTGTCAGCTCAGTGGGTCTAACCTGGAACCAGCTCTTGCTTCTGGACCTCTGGGGCACAGACTCCACTGCACTGACCATCAGGGGTTACCAACCCAAACTGGGGCAGTGCTGCATAATACAATATTCACAAGTAGAAACCCAAGTACTCTTAAAATATTAAGAAATATTTGTCTAAATTATGCTCTTAAAACCCCAAAGCAGTCCCATCTGACTGGGATGGAAACAAACTGAAGCACTGGGATCTTTGACTAAGGGCACCAAGCAAACCACTGCAAAGCTTGGGAACCTCAACTTCTCCACTGGACTCATTTCTTTGTGGATCATCTCTCCTGGAACACAATTTTTGGGCTTCTGGACTTTCCAAGTCCAAACCTGAGGACAAAACTCTTCCTTAAATTCAGCCAAGGTTAGAGAGCCAAGGCAATGTGCCATATTTTGAGGACAGTTCATCATTGTATCACATGGAAGAAGCGCAGAACCAATTAATATTTCCTCCTGCTCCTCGTGGCATGTCTCCTTTTCTTATGCAACATTCCCAGCTACTGCCACAGAGATGGATTACCCCAAGGATCTTTGCTTCCTGGTAGATAAGATGCTGTATTTCTCTGCCCAGATGTTATGTAGAGTGATTCTTAAAAAAAAAAAGAACGGATCCACTTACAGCCTCAACAAAGCAAAGGATTATGCTCTGAATTTATCCAGCATCCTGCCTTTTCCTCCTCCACCCCGCAGCCATCCTTTCCACCTTTGGAAAGAGAAACTAGAGCCCCCGTTTGTGGAAATTTGTTCCCTCAGCTGAAGGGAATTAAACCACAAAAGGCTAAAGTCAGCTCAGGCAGATAAAGCAAGTGCAGCAGGAGGAATGAATCTGTTCAGCAGCTCCTGATCTCCAGAATGTCACCTGTCCTTCAGGCTGCTGCTCGGATCATCCGCTCCCTCCTGGGAATGAGTGTTACTGTGTGCAGGGTGCTGCCAACAGAACCCAATACTGGAGTCTCCAACCTCATTCCAGCTGCACATCATCCTACAGTGGCTCATCCAGCTGGGATAACAGGTCCTGGTCCCTTCCAACCCAAACCATTCTGAGATTCTGTTCTATGATACACCTCCAGTAGCCAGGTGGAAAAATATGGGGGAGCATCATGTTTTCCCCAGGTTTATCCCACTTTCCAGTGATTCAGCCCCTTGGTGTAACAGCCACAGGGGCAGGGCCTGAATCTGTGCTTTCACAGAATCACAGGATGGTTTGGGTTGGGAGAGACCTTAAAAGCCCATCTGGTTCCTGCCATGGGCAGGGACACCTTCTGCTATCCCAGGTTGCTTCAAGCCCCATCCAACCTGAACTTGAACACATCCAGGGATGGGGAGTCCACAACCTCTACAACCTCTCTGGGCAACAAGATATTTGATAGATTACATCAGCTTAGATTAATTTAGATACCAACACTACACACACCACAAGAGCCATGTAATTTCTTGACAGATTGAGCCCAACAAAGTCTACCAAGGGTTAAAAAAAAAAATCTCCTAATTTTTTTTTGGTGGTCTTTGGGTACAGAATCTCTTATAATAAGACTATTTGTATTCATACTGGCAGAGTAAACACTACATGTTCATGCCCAGGCAGCTCTGTGCTTGTAATTTCAGCAAGAACAGAGCGATGTCCCTGAGGGACTTTGCTATTTCCCCAGCCACCATCCACTCCAACGCTGAATGAGAGCGGGGAAGGAGAGAAAGATGATGGCATAACCCTCCCCAGCAGCCCCAGCTTGCACCAGGAACGCAGGGAATAGCTCATTCCAGGTTTAATTAGACCAGTTAAAACATTTCTCCCCTAGCCCAGCAAGAGACAAGGCCGCAGTGCTCCCACAGTCACCATTTGCTGATTAGGTGCAATTTGCAAACATCGTATTCCAAAGCTTCCCCTGACAAGATCCACGCAGGAAATGGTGATGAAAACCTCTGTTTCCTCTCATCACTACACTTGATGTTTTTGAACAGAGCTTTTTTGCAAACCTTAAGTTGTATATTTAGGAAAAGGTTGATGCTGGTTCAACGACGCCAAGAAAAAAATAAATGATACCATCACTTAGAACTGTTGAAATTTAAATTACTGTAGAGCATTCACTTACTGATTCCCATCCAAAAAAACCCCACATCTTCTAGTAGTTATCTTTACTCTCCAGTCATTCCAATGCTGCAATCTTTGGCTTCCTAATGGAAAGACACCTCAGCAAAATCCCACCATGACACCAAGGCCTCCTCCTATTTGAGCTGAAGGAGTAACTCCATCACCCCCAGCATTAGCTCCTTATAAGTCTTGAGTAAATCCTTCTCAAGAGGGGAAAGTTGCACACACCTTGTCACAAACTGTGTGGGAAAGATGGAAATGGAAGCATAAAATTGTTTTTTTTTTCTGTGAGGTGTTTGAAATGAAAACATTTCTATTTAGTCTTGTAAAACATATTTTCTCAAACTCAAACCCCAGTTACCTGGAATAGCTGAATGAGCACTTTTTAATTATGAAGGAAAACCAGCATAGGCACAGGTTTGAAATGGAATCATCATTTACTACGGAGGTTAAAATACCCATTGTATGGGAGGTATTAATTTTTAATGAAACAAAAATCTCATTTTCAAGAGTGAGATTTTCATCTGTGAAAGGCCGAACGAATAGATTTTGTGCCTGGCTGGTAAACTTTCATTACGATTGTCAAACTCAGCCCAAGCCACAAAGTACTGCAGGACATGGAAAGAAAAGCAGCAGGGAGGGAAGTGCAACTTGCCTCGTTTCCTCCTGGCAGCCTGTTCATGTGCACGAGCTGGCCCTGGTCATCCAGCACCAGCTCCGTGTACGTCAGGATGTCCGGAGGCAGCGGCGTCGGCGGCAGGAAGGCGTGTTCATTCATGGAATTCCAGAGCTTAATCAAAGACTAGAGATGGAAAGATAAATGCCTGTTAAGAACATCACCTGCGAGTATTTTTATCCAATCCACTCCACTGTGACTCAATATTCCCAACAGGACAACCCTCAAACATCCCCCCCTGCCAGAGGGCGGGTACCAAAGTTTAGAACAACCTAAAGGACACCCACCTGCCGAAACATCTCGGGGATGTCATAGACATAGGACGTCCCTAAAGTCTGGGCCTGGAACCTCTTGGACTGCAGCAGGTCTTTGGTCACGTAGGGGGTATTGATCAGCATCCCGTGGAGTGGTCCCTGTTTATCCCCATAGGCCTGGAACATGATCTGTGGGACAAAACACAACCAATTACTGCCTGATGCACCGGTTCCGTACACTGAGCTGACCCAGATTTTACCAAAAATCATCAGGATACTCCAGTCTGATTGTTTCTGCTCTCCACAAGGATGTCAGTGCTGGCATAGCCTGGAACACCGTGCTCCATCATGCATTACTGCCCTTTGGAGACAGTGCTGGACCATTACCGTGCAGATCCCGGCATCCCTGACTTATTGCCGCGTCCCGGCGGAGCACAGCGAGCAGAGCCACCTCCCCCAGAAAAAAACCTGCGACTTAGATGACTTCCCATTCCCCAGTATTTCCCCTGACGCCGTGTCTGTGCCGATGGATGGTGATAGCTGGGAGCAGAGAGGAGAACTCCGTTATTTATGGAGTGGCGCTGCGCGGGATCCGCGGCTCCGCCGGCTGCTCCGGGAAGCCGGGTCAAGACTTGCATATGTCATTTGGCTTGAAGTTTTGATATTGTAAGTTTAAAAGATTTTCCCAGAGTAGCAACATGAATTATCAACTGCCAGGCTTCATGGCACTATATATTCCACTCGGCCAGGACTCGGAAGGGAAGGTATTTCAATGGAGAAACAGGAGGAGCTTTGCTGAACCAGGAGAGCTCAGCCCAAATGCTGCTCAGCCTGAGAGAAGGGACATGATTGGGATGTTGTTAATAGAATATTTCTAATTGAAGATGAATTAATTGAAGAAGTCCACTAAAGATAAAATTCAGTAAAGCCTGCTTTAGTTTTTAAATTAAAAATGGCAGGTTTTGCTCTCTTCACACTTTGCAAACATTAATTGGGGAAGCAGCTTCTTTAATGGGAAACATACTTGCTGAGTGTTTGTGAAAGTGCCTGTGTTAGGATCTGTTTGGATCTATTGGGATCTGTTAGTGCACTTGGGGCACAATTCTCCTTAAATCTCTGGAAAGCTCCAGAGCACTTCTGTGGGAACTGGAGAAGTCTGTGCTGAGCATCCCCACTCATCACTACTGAGAAACAACAGATCGGGGTCATCCTCTCACCATGAATCCATTTTCCCACTCTTCAGAAGCCATGGAAGTGCCCAGCCCATCAGTAATATTTCAATTTTTTAAAAAGAATTCTCTAAGTTCAAAATAACCCTCTGAAAACATAGGAAAAAATCCACAGATCTGAACCTGTAAAAACTCCCATCATCAGGGTGAAGATTCACCCAAGTTTCCTAAAAAACTCCGACCTTCAAGCTTTGTAAGACAAACTTTCCTCCCAGCTGCTCACAGTTAACTGAAATAATTGCACTCAGTATAATTTTTTACTAGAATCTGGTTTAATATTCCGGAAAAATATGAAATTTAATATTGGAAAAGTTGCTAAAGCCATAGACACACACACACATCCCCCAAGCTTTAAATAATAAAGCTCATCAGGGACAGAGTCCAAGAGGAAACAGGACCTTCACAAGTGACTGACCCAACTAAAGGGTTAAGCTCAGCTCTGGAGATTATTAAAATGTTCTTTTCTCTCCTCATCTCCCCTCAAAGGCAGAAATGAGGTAGAACACACTGACACTATCTGTCCTGGGATCTCAGGACTGGATGGACTCCTCGGCCAGCAGCTTCCTGGAAAAATTAAACAGAGAAGAGGGGTAGAAAAGGTGACTCAGCACTTTGTGTTCTACATTCACAGTGCCCAAGTGATTTATTCTGCTGCTACTCCTGCTTGGCAGAGAGATGATTACAGAGGGAGATGTAAACATTTCTCTATTTAAATATTTTCCATGCATCCCATGCTCCATGGATTTTAGCATATGTAGGTATTTCAGTTAACCACACTATTCCTGCACCATGAAAAACAGAAATACCAGGACAGCCACAACCATTACAAAAGAGCCCATTATGCTTCATAAAAATGATATAAAAGCACCTCCCATAATTTTATATCATCCTACCCAGGTCATTTCCTATATCTTTAGAATTTAAAGGACAAGTTCACGGATTTTCTCCATCTACTCAGGGAAATGTACAATTAATAATATTTTTTATTGCGACCTACAGGATGAGCACCAACAGTGATTCCTTTTCTATTACTTTTCTGAGCACTCTGAGGAAAAGTCTTGAGGAAAACAGCTGCCCAAACTGAGGCATGGACAAAACAACCAGAGGCCTTGCACTTTTACCTAAGTGATTACATTTTCATACCTACTGCAAGATTACCTTCACATCCTTCTTCCTTTGGCAAATTTGAATGGCAATTTGGAAACATACTATGGGGGTTGGAGCAACCTGGCCTAGTGGAAGGTGTCCTTGCCCATGGCAAGGGGTTGGAACGAGTTTAAGGTCCCTTCCAACCCAAACCACCCTGTGGTTCTGTGATTATTCTGAAAACACCATAAAACACGGAAGAGCTTCACCAGGTACAATGTGTCCCCCCCACGTAATTTGCTCATCCAACCCTGGAGCCGGACGGATGTACCTGTCCCGTCCTGGAGTCCGTCACCTCCTTGTACAGGCTGATGTCCAGGTAATAGCCCGACTCGTTGGTCAGGAAGAGCCGGATGGGAATGGCCTTTCCCGTGGGCGTCAGGCGGATGTTGATCTTCAGCTCGGCCTGGAGGACGCGCAGCTTCCAGAGGCGGCTCCCGTAGCGCATCACCATGGAGCGCACGGACTCCTCGATCTGCAAACAGCACAAGGGTTTCCCTCACCACACACTGACCAGCCTGGGCTGGGAGAAGTGTCCCTGCCCACGGGGGTTGGAACGAGGTGGGCTGTAAGGTCCCTTCCAAATCATTCTGGGATTCCTTCTGGATCCATCCACTGCTCTGTGCCCCCTCCATCCCACTGCCGAAGGTCCTGCTCCAAGGGCAGCCCGGTGTGATGAAGAGAGACAGAAGCATCACACACCAGCGTACATCCAGGGATATTAGGGGAGCTTGGTGGCCTGTCCCTTCTCATCCTAAGCCTTGAGGTGGGCAGGAACTCAGCCTGGGGACTGCTGAGGTAGTGGGACAGTACTGGATTGGGATGTTGTTAATAGAAGTTTTCTAGTTGAAGATGAATTAATTGAAGAAGTCCACTAAAGACAGAATTCAGTAAAGCCTGCTTTAGTTTTTAAATTAAAAATGGCAGGTTTTGCTCTCTTCACACTTCGCAAACATTAACTGGGGAAGCAGTTTCTTTAATGGGAGAAATACTTGCTGAGGGTAACGAGTGTTTGTGAAAGTGCCTGTGTTAGGATCTGTTTGGACCTATTGGGATCTCTTAGTGCACTTGGGGCACAATTCTCCTTAAATCTCTGGAAAGCTCCAGAGCACTTCTGTGGGAACTGGAGAAGTCTGTGCTGAGCATCCCCACTCATCACTACTGAGAAACAACAGATCGGGGTCATCCTCCCACCATGAATCCATTTTCCCACTCTTCAGAAGCCATGGAAGTGCCCAGCACATCAGTAATATTTGAATTTTCTTAAAAGAATTCTCTAAGTTCAAAATAACCCTCTGAAAACACAGGAAAAAAATGCACAGATCTGAACCCGATTCACACCCCTCTTTCCTCATGGCTCACAGAATCTTTATGGTTGGAAAAGACCTCGAAGACCACCAAGTCCAACCCAGCACGGCACAGGTGCCTCTCCTTCACCTGCCTTCCCTCCCAAGGGAGGGCTCAGACCTGGGAACTGTGGGATCCAGGGAAGCCAAATCCTTGGCCAACAGCTCCGTAGCACTTGTTTGCACAATAATCATGTTTCGCCGCCCGCGCCGCGCGGGGCTTTAAATCAACAAAGCAATTACCACTCGGAGCTGGGCCTTCTGCCGTTCCATTAAACTTCATAAAATACTACTGTGGGCAAAGCGCATATTAAAAGAAGGCAATTTATAGGCTGGTTTTAACATTCCTCAAAAAAAACCCCTCTCTTTTCCACAGCAGCTCAAGGAAAAGTCACGGTACGTATCCGAGGGCAACCCAACTTCCAGGGCTGAATGTCCCGGCTTCTTCTGAACTTCCTGGGAACTAATGATTTTGGATGTGCCCAGAGAGGTTTTATTCAAGAGCGACTTAAGCCACCAATTTTTAATCACGATTTAAAAGTCAGCAAGCAAGAGAGTTATTTTGATACCCAATTCATCTTTTTAAACTTTCAGTTGTTCTCCCAAGGAAAGGTCAACTCTCATCTTTGGGTACTCATGAACAGAATGTTGATTTCCAGCGAAATTCAGCTTTTACAGTTTATTTGGGCCTTTCTTTGTGGTGGTTCTGCTAAGCACAAACATGCTTTATGCCTAAACACTTTCATTAATGCATATCAAAGCTTAATGTTCATTTCTTTATAATGTTGATCTCTGTGGTTTTGTATCAGAGAGCGGAAATGAGGTACTTTTGTAGCTGAATTTACAGATTCTTTTTAACGTCTGAATTTATCTCACGTTTTATTTGGATGAAATCTGGACTTCTGTAACAAACAGGGGGGCATTTAGAGCTATTTCCTCATTAAAACTGTTCATCTCAAGCACACAATGAAAAAATAAGTTTTTAGCTTCAAATACAAAATGTATTTTTAAGCACTGTTCCTCAGTTGACCCAGAGGAGGTGAGCTGTGCTGCTTGAAGGACACAGTTTTTCTCCACTTATAGAAATATAAGTAGCTAGTTCTGAAGTCTAACATTTAATATTTATTCATAAGTGGAAAAAACCTCCAAAGCTCTCTTCCTTTGTGTGACTCTTAGGGATAGTCCTGTGCAGGGCTATGGGTTGGACTCGATGATTCTGTGGGTCCCTTCCAACTGAGCACATCCCGGGATTCTATGATTCCTCCCTGCCAAGCAGGTTCCTGACATGACACACACCAGCTGCTTGCCTTAACTGGGGACATTACAGTGTTCTCTCTGCTTTTGGAGATAAGTGTCCAAGGCCAGGTTGCACGGGGCTTGGAGCAATCTGGTCTAGAGTGGAAGGTGTCCCTGCCCATGGCAGGGGGTGGAACTGGATGAGCTTTAAGGCCCCTTCCGACCCAAACTAGCCTGGGATTCTAAGAACAAAAGACCATTTAATTCTGGGAAGCGAAGCCCTAGAAAAACAAGCAGAGCTCGGGAGGGGGTCCCACCTTGGAGGGGTCCATGATGACGGTGGGCACGAAGTTGAGGAAGATGTGGTTGCAGTCGGTGCGCACGTTGGTGTTGTTGAACGCCACCTCCAGCTCATCCATGGCCTCCAGCAGCAGGCGCTCGCCCTCGTTTTGCAGGTACTCAAAGGAGGCTTCCTGCCAGATATTGCCAACAAATTATTGACTTTCTACGCACAGATCACAGCCCAAGAACACAGGGATTGGAAAAGCGGGGAAGGATGTGATGGAGAGAACAGGGGTACATGGGTGTCAGCAGGATGTGCAGCCCTGAAGCAGATCCATCCCCATCACGGGGCCGGTGCTCCCAGTGCCTGGATTCCACATCTGGCTGGTTTGTGCCCTCGTTTAGTTCAGAGTAAATTTGAAACTAGACAGGGCAAACCACTGTTGCCTCAAAATCCATGGATTTCTGACTATCCACTTAAGCCCCTGAAAAACCTCCCCGAAACACGGGAATACCAGGGCTTCAGAGAGATGGTTCTGCAGAGCCACCACAGCACTCCACACAGGCAAAATGTTCAGTTTTAATCTAAAACCCCCTGCAGGTTCCCGGGATGACCCCGGGTTTCACACGCTGCCTTGGAAAGAGCCCTTGCCCAGGTGACAAACTCACCTTGGTCACCAGGTCCGAGTGCCTGATGATGGCCCTCACGAAGAACCTGTAGTCTGTCACCTCCGTGCCCACCTCCACCTTGGCTGCCCCCAGGTACAGGTGCATTTTGTGGTTGGCACAGGGGATGGCAGTGAGGTCGAAGTTCCGCATGCGGTTCAGCTCCAGCTGGAAAGCCAGAGCCGGCTCCAGGTGACGGTAAATCCGGTCCTCCTCGAACTGGAGGCACCGTGCAGGGAGAAGAGGGTGGGAAAGAGGAAAGGGGGTGGAGAGGGTGAAACACTGAGGATAAGAACTAGACAACGCCCCTTAGAAATTTCATATTTAGTTAAAACTGTAAAAATTCAAATGAATCCAACCCAGAATCTTTTATCTCGTGCAGTCATTGGTACTGAGAATTGACTTTTTACAAGAGCTTGGAGTGAGAGAAAAAGGGGGAATGGCTTCAAACTCAAAGACAGTAGGTTTAGATAGGATATTAGGAAGAAATTCTTCCCTGTGAGGGCAGGGAGGCCCTGGTACAGGTTGCCCAGAGAAGCTGTGGCTGCCCCATCCCTGCAAGGCCAGGTTGGATGGGGCTTGGAGCAACTTGGGATAGTGGGAGGTGTCCCTGCCCATGGCAGGATTTAAGGTCTCTCCCAACACAAACCATTCTGTGATTCTATGAAGACAGCAGGTTCTCAAGCTCAGCCTCCCCATAAAACCCTTTTTTTTCACAGAAACCAGAAGGTTTGTCTGATTCTAAGGCCTGAATCACTGTCCTGCTTCCAAGAAGCAGCTACGTGAAAGAAGGATAAAGCCAACACTTAGAGACAAGTATTGATATAAAACTTACCTTATCCCGGGCACGGAACGTGAAGAACTTTGGGAATTCCCTCTGTTTGAAAATAAAAACAACAGTGTTAGTCCTCCCAAAGTGGGCACTGATCTCCCCAGAGTGCCCACAGGCACGCCTGAGGCAGCACCACAGCACAGGCCATGACAGAAGTTGTTACCAGCTACTTTTTCAACGTCACAAAGGTCGTGGAAAATCAAGTCACCCTCAAGAAGACCCTCACGACAGCAGAGGTAGCTTAAACCTGTCTCTGCTAGTGCAACAGAGGTTACTTGATTTGCTTTAGATTATTATTGTCAATTATTAACTGACAACAACATGGAAGTGTCCAGACAGTAGTGGGAAAGGAAACCTTTTCTAGTTCTGCTATGATTAAAGTTCCCATGGAAATGTTTGGGAGCCATACAGAGATATTAACACTCTTATGGACACAGATGTATACAGCACAATGGTCTTAGTTTACAGTTCTCTTCATACCATTACTGCTGGAAATACTTTCTTGCCAAGGAAAACTGTGAGTTGCAATAACTTTATCCTCCTGTGTTAAATAGCACTACAAAAATCCCCCAAATTCGACTGGGCTTCTCTGTTATTCTGTTGCACAGACAAAACCCTGGCAGGGGCTTGACAGTTTTGTGGCAAGTTGTACAAGTCTTAGAAGACAGAAAGGCTAGGCAGCATCCTTCTACCTGTCCTTCCAGTTCCATCCAAGCAAATCCATCCACTCCTCTGGAATTACACTTCTCCTGGAACTTTTGTCAATGCTTTGCACCAAGGCCAGCACACCAGCTCTCTGTGCTAAAGGTGACCTGAGAGAACACACACAACTTGCCAGAACTGTCTTACTAAGCAAAAAAAGAAGGAATCTGACTTGGAGTCACCGAATTTCTGGCTCATGTTCCACTGTCAATGAAAGATGGGCAACCCCAGCTCGAGTCAGTGTGACAAGCAGCAGCACTATGTAAACCATCACTGAGCAACACAGATTTTAAAGCTAAAAAGTAATATTCTAGTTAGTCATCTTCCTTCCCTCCCTATACAGAACAGTCCCCAAACCTCACCTGATGACTTTCAGTAGAGCAAAAATAACCTGTTTGCCTGGAATATGTCTTCCAGACCAGGCACAAGAAATCCTGCCTGAAAATTCAGGCTCACCCAACATACTCGTGGCCTGTGAGCACCAGCTGCACTCTAACAACCAACCACTTCCATGTTTCCTCTCTTCTCCTCCAAATCCCTCCTACCTGTCCTCCTCTGCACGCTGCCAATTCCTCCTGCCACCATCCATGCTCATTCCATCACTAATGTAATTGCTTCCAAGGCATCTGAGTAGTGTGGTGGGCAAATATCATAATTAGACGTGCACTCACACAAAAACCCTCAGTGCTCTGGTACCAAAATCCAAAAGAGTGCTCCATTTCCTAGGCAGAAGAATTATACCCCTGCTGTGTTCTAATCAACCAACCATCATCAAGACAATCAAAATAATTTGCCTAAATTAGCCAATCAAGACACCCTGCAAACCAGAGAATGCGAAAAGCTACAACAGAAATCATCATAGTTGATTATTATACTAATAATCACGTTAAAAACCTAATGAGATGAGGAAATTGGAAGCTTGCTGGAGCAACTCTCTATTACCTCAACATGCTGGGAACTAATTATATAGACTGTAATTAAAACAAAAACAAACCCAAGCCCAGGCCTGGCTAAGTTAATAGTTGGTCCAGTAATAAAGGGGATAGAATAGGAGACAGTAATAAAGAGTGACACAGCAGATCCCAGAGGTGCTCCACAGACTTTGCAGACAGATGACACACCAGGCTGAGGAACCAGGAGCATCCCCACAGTCCATTGTGCTACACGGCAGGGCAGGGGAAACTTGGGAATGACTCCTTTTGTTCTGTGCCTCCTTTTTGACTCTGACACATCCCACAGTACTTACTCAGCTACTCATATTTTTTCATTCCCTAAACAACCATTCAGTTCTCTAAAACTTCCTTTTTTAAATCTAAAACCTGGTCCCAAAAACTCTTCACAGAATCCAGCTTCCTACCTAAGCTGTTCACTGATGCATCTCTACTGTATCGTGACCAATTCCCATGTGGTGACACCCACATTGGTTCAAAAACTGTTTTTGCTGACTTATAGACTAGTTTTCCCTTCATGAAGCTTCCTAAGCCAAGTGTGTTGAGCACAGGATGGATTTCTTGCACTTTCAAGACTCCTGACAACTTCCAGCACTGAAAAGTAGATACACAAGGGATAAAAATCTGTTTCACACCTTACATTGCCACCTTGAACAGGGCTAGACCAGCCCTGGCAAAGAAGTAATTCCAGCAGTGAGAGTACCAAACATTTCCTATATCACTGGGGCACTCTGAAATTTAGCAAGTCCCTTTAGTTACTCCTCTAAGGGGTTTTAAAATCAGTAAGAAGCCGAAAGAAATCACCACCCTACATGAGAAACACAAAGATTTCAGTGGTATTTGCACTTTAGAGTAGGAAACAGCACTGAAACACAGGGGATCTTTGTTAGTGTGGCATCCTGAGCTCAGCCAGGCAACGAGAGAGACTCCAGCACCTGAACCCTCTGAATGCAACAGGGCAACACCTGGGTTAGCTGTCAGATGTCAAAATAAATACTTATACACTTCACTCTGACCCCAATGCTGGCATTAAATGCCTGGCTGAGATCCAAATGAGAAGCCCAGAGTCCCTTCCGTGTGTCCTGGTCTCACGTCAGGAACACCACCGGGCTCCAGGCCCTTTTTACTTACGTGGAATCTCTGATCCACCTCATAGTTGACCTGTTTCCTGAAGTCCTTACAAACGAAACATACAAACATGGGAAGAAAAAAAAAAAAAAGCAGAAGACAGCTAGCAATTAGGATTAAATTCAAAAATGAATTAATTCAAGAATACGAGAGGTGTTAAGATTGTTTACAATTCATTGTTACAAATTCATTTTCTTAAGCGAATTCATGGAAACCATCTCAAATTTTAGAGGACAAAAACACTGAAGAGAGAACTAAACACAGGTAATACAGCATTTAACTTGGGGAAAAAACACATCAGATGTCAATGGCACTGTGAGCTAGACATCAAAGAGTTCTGAGCATCATGAGAGATATTAAAATACCTTTTGTGCTACCAGGAAAGTCAGCCTCCGAATCCCGTGATCAATCAGGACTGATTTCTGTAAGAACAAGGATGGAATCAAGTGACTGGATTAGCAGAAAAAGAACAGACAGAAAATTCCTCCATGAACTGGAAAAGCTCCACAGGTCCTCCTGTCCCTGTGCTGTGAGTTCCTCGTCCACCTCAGTCTCCTCACAGCAAGGACTTCCCACCTGATGATCCTCCAACAGCATAAATACCCAAATCCATTAGATCTGAGCAGGCAAACAGCTAAATCCCAAGAACACAGAATTCCAGCTGAGCCTGACTAACCAGGAATGCAGAAGAGTCCTATCCAAGTCTTGCAGGAAACATCATTGTTCATTTCCCAAAGTAAGTTGGGTGTTTTTTCCCCAAGATTACTTTTTGAAGGGAGCACAGTGTGGACATGGTAAAGTCATGGAAAATGATAGAAAATGATGGAAAAGGAGGTTTAAAGGACATAATCCACAGAAGCATGTAGCTCGTACTTGACATTGGCACATGGACAGCCCAGACCGAAGGGCAGATCCAGGAAGGAGAGGGACTTTTTATAAGAGCAGAGAGGGACAGGAAAAGGGGCAATGTGTTTAAACTGACAATGAGCAGGTTTAGGTTGGATATTGGGAAGAAACTCTTCCCTGTGAGGGTGGGGAGGCCCTGGCACAGGTTGCTCAGAGAAGCTGTGGCTGCCCCATCCCTGCAAGTGTCCAAGGCCAGGCTGGACGGGGTTTGGAGCAACCTGGGATAGGGGAAGGTGTCCCTGCCCATGGCAGGGGGTGGAACTGGATGAGCTTTCAAGTCCCTTCCAACCCAAACCATCCTTGGATTCCAGGATTCTACATTGCAAAGGTGTCACTTATTCTTTCCAAACAGGTGAAAGAATACCCCTTGTGTTGCTGCTCCCTCAAATTCCACTGAGCCCCGTTTCAAAGGAGTGCTGCCACCAGTATTTGCCACACCACTGATCCTTTGAAGCGTTAAGATCTCGTAATTCCCCTCTTTTTAAAAGCTTTTTCCCCTTTCTCCTCCTTTTTCCAATTTAAAAGCAAAGAGCACAAAAAGAAACAAGAACTCAGCTCGGGCAGGAACAAACCAACCCCTCTCAGCACAGCCTGCGACGTTTCACTGAGGTTAAGCCCCCTGAAAACGAGCAGCAGTGACTATATTCATGGCAAGAAGAGGAAGAAAATAACTTTAATAATGCCATGATTTAAAAAGCAAAAATTGTTATTGCTTTTAAAATTCCACAAGTGGCAGACAATAACAGCAGAGCAACAGGATTCTGATTACATGGTAATAATGTGGGTCTCACAGCAAGGCCACAGCTATTACAGAGCGATTAGCCATCAGCACCTGGAGAAACTCCATTTCCACTGACTGCCTCAATCTCCTCCACAAGTCATTTACAAGTATATGATCCTAATTTCTATTAAAAAAACCACACACGACATGCTGGGACTAGAAGATTATTTGGACAATTTGGATCAACCTATTTGATAGTTTAATGTGGTTTGGGATTTTTTTTTTTTATTTCTTTTTTTTTATTTATTTATATTTTATGTCTTTCCTTTTATCCCCTCCCATAAAACGCCTGGAGCATGATCAAACAGATGAGAAGCAGAACCAGTTTTAATTCTTAGGTTTGATTATTTTCTTTGCTTAAAGAGACAGGAAGCTGCAGAAGCCATTTGGATGCCAACCCCTCATTTCTGCAGGACATATTCCCACCTTCCACACTGGGAAGTCGGAAGTGCTCCCATAACCATTGCAGGTACCACAAATCCCAGTCCCTGAAGGGATATTCACCTCCACAAGCTGGTTGAGTTCTTCACACCAACCAGAAAAGCAGAAAGACACCAGAGAGGACACAAGGACACTGTCCTCAGGCCAGGTTGTCTCACAGCTGACCCAGCACTAACATCTGGGACTCGAAAGTGTATCCCACACTTGGAAGGAGCAACAGAACATGCCAAATCAACTCTACCTTGGGCCAGAAATATCACGTGAAATGGATGCTCCAGCATGCCAGCAAGGACAATAAATTTTAATTGCATTAAGACTATCATACTACAGACATAAAGGATATTTTAATGTCACTTCCCATGGCTCTTACTCATACAACAACTTGACCACCAGTAAAAGGGATACAGAACAGTTTTCCAGACCATCTGGAGATAGTTACTGAAGGTTGACCTGATGTGTTTGAAACCTTAAGGGTCTTTTATTCTTCCAAAAACTGAAGGGAATAACTCCTGACCTGACGGATTAGAAAGAGAAACAATGGCCTGGTGGCTTCAGAAAGGTGCAGCTACATCCAGTCAAAGAAGTGGGAAGGTTTTAGATGGGATAAATTAAGGATGTAACTGTTGAAAACAAACAAGAAAACCCCAAACCTATGTAACATACTGACTTCTCCTAAAGCAGACAGAATGTCCTGCACAGTCAGACAGACCCAGAGAGAGAATCAAGACAACTCACCTTGCTCTGTGTGAACTCCCTGAACATGGCAGCCAGCGTGTCATCGTCGACGTCGCTGTCTGTCTTAATGGCAACGTTGAGGATGTGGATGGGCTCCTCCCGGGCAGTCTGCAAGGGAAAGGAAATATTCCCCATAAATAAAGAGTTGACACAGTAGCACCTGAGAGTTCTCAACAGAAGCTCCCTAAACCCAGCTCTAAAACAGAGACATCCTGGTGAAAATGACCCCAGGGGAGCACATTGAAAAACAGGGACAAGTGTGAGGGAAATCCTTGACCGAGCAGCCTCATAAATCTGCAGTTTCACAGAAGTCAGAATTAATGTCCACAAACAGCAAACAGGAGCTTCATTTGGAGACTGCAAGTCTGAGGGTCACCTCTGACCTGGGTAACCCCAGTGAGCTTCACTTGGCTGCACACAGGAGGCAGGGTCGGGGCCCCTCTTTAGAGATGCAGCACAAGCAGGACACTGGAGGACTCTAGCATCAAGAGAAGTAACTAAATTAAGCAAATTCAAAGTGTGGGGGCAAAACAATGTGACTTTTCATACACAGAACAACATGAAATAAAGTGGAGGTATCAATTACATTAGAGGTCCAAGAAATTACAAATTTAGCTTTTAGGAGCCATTGGTTAACTGGAAAAAACTGAGTGTGAACAGGAAATTACCTTGGTGAAGTGAGGGGAATGTAAAGAGAAGGATCTGAGGACATTAAGGTTGACACTAATATTCTGGAACAAGGCTACAGTGCTTACACACATCAGGATCAATGGATCAGCTGAAAACCAAGCCCTTTCTGGACACAGGCTGTGTTCCAACAGAGCTTCCCACTGGGGGGGGCAGGACAGAGTGTGGAGCAGCTCTGTCTCTAAGGGAAACTGGCCTTCTATCCCTATGGATTATAAACCACCTGCTTCCTCTGCACCTGTTCTCCACACCAGTGCAAAAACTGAGCTGTTCCACTCAGCTCTTCCTCCTCAAAACAGTTCTCAGAGCGAGAACAGAAGGAAGAATCAGGATGTAATAATGTGACAGAGGGTGTAAGACAGAAAACACGGCAAGTCAGACTTAAGGCAGAGGCAGCTGAAGATGCATTTTGAGACCCTGATGCACAGAGAAGGTCTGAAAACCTAACAGTGGGTCTGAACTCTCAGTTACACTGCTGTGGATCCAGTAATTCCGCTGAGGCTAAAAGCTATAAACTGAATTTACATGGAGAGTAAGAGACTGAGCCACAGTTTTAGAACAGAGTTGGAAAATGACCACCTACTTCCAGTCACCTGCTGTGGAACAAGAAAAACAAATCACACACATAAATACATAAAGCTCCCAACTCCTGCTTTCCAGCTGGTGAAAAGCATCCAGCCTGCAGTCCCTGCATGCTCCTGCTTCCAGCCCAGAGCAACCTCCAGGGAATAAACCACCATACCTTGTCCTCATCGTAGAGGGAAGCGTGGCCAGCTTCGGGGAACGTGGGGCTCTGCGGGGGAGAGTCGCAGAAACAACCCATCACTTCATCAAAGATCCTGCAAGGCACCACAGGAGGATCAGTCACAACACACTGCTGCATCCAGCACTGACCCCCCAAATCCTGCTGCTTGAGGGGGAGAGACAGCAAAGGGCTGCTTCCCTTGGCAGGGCTGGACTCAAAGATGAAGAGGAAATTCCTCAAACCAACGCAGAGCTTGGATGGTCCAGCATTCGACAGAGACCTTGTGGGTGCAGGCTGAGGGCTCTGCTGGGGGTTTGCCCACCCCAGAAGGTTGGAAGCAAAAAGAACACCTCCTCCCACACACATTTGTGTGAACAGGAGCCTTAGAAGAAATCAGCCCATTTGGAAATGGTCTCCAATCAGCAGAAATCAGGGATGCTGATCCTTCTGGCCGCAAACTGCTCCTGCAGCAGCCAGAAACCTCAGTCAGCTCAAGGAGACAGACACGGGCACTCAAAAGCAAACAAGCTCAGGACCCAGTTTAAACCTGACTCCAGACAAAGCAAAGACCGTGTCCAGTCCTCCCTGGGCCCAGGTAGGAAGTTGGCCACACAACCAGCCCTCCCCCTTCCCCACACACCTGACGAAGTCCTCGAAGGTGCGGAAGGAGACCATGCCCCCCATCCGCTGGCACGGCGGGGTGAAGGAGTTGTCCAGCAGCACGTCACTCACACTGGCCACGTGGACCATCCCATAGTGGTTGAGGTTGGAGGAGAAGGACATTCTAAACAGCAATCCAACAGGAGCACAGTTAGTAGGGACAGGGCAGGGAAGAACAGGACTGGAAGCAGATTTGTGCCTGCGCTTTGCCCACCAGTGTGGCTGTTTTTCCAGGACAACTGTTGGATTCCCCAGCATGCCAGACCTGTCTCCTGCAGAGTCCCTGCCAGGCCTCTGGTGCCACTAGTACCCTAATATTTCTGTTCAAGAAACGACTGGACGTGGCACTCAGTGCTCTGGTCTGGTTGACAAGGTGGGAACTGGTCAAAGGTTGGACTTGATCTTGAAGGTCTTTTCCAACCAAAATTATTCTGTCATTTTAATGTGGTTTTTTTAAAAGACCCACAATGATAAGGTCAAGACTAACAGAAGAAGTTTTCTCACACAACTAAACAGACACCCTTTCTCTAGTGACCAGAACTGGAGCTTGCCTTCTCTGCAAGAATCATTTTTAATTTCTGAGCTGTGCTGTAGACTCATCTTAATTCTCTGAAAGACTTCAACAGCTCCCTGCAACACGGTGAGAGCTCCAAGCCTGCTCTGAGGAGGAGCTGGCCCAGGGCAGAGCTCTGTGACACCCTCAGAGCCCCACATGGCCTCACCTCACCCTCCCTGAGCCTGGGAACACATTCACCAAGGCAACTTCTGTCCTGCCCAGCTGCTCCCACAACGGGAAAACAAAAAAAAATAAATCATGGAAGTGATTCAGCAGAGCACATGGTGGCTCAGAGCTTGGGAAGTCAAAAGGAAGCTCAGCTGGTGTGTTGGATGAGGTGCCAGGGCCATCCACACACACCCAGGACCTCGCTGAGTGTGGCTGACACAGCTATTTACCAGCTTTACTGAGATTTCTTTCTTTCCACATCCCAAAACCACTGTGATATGGCCCTAAGTATTGTGTTAACAAGCCTAAAGTATCATCAGTGTGACTAATAGCTTTCCATGCTTAAAGTCACTCTGTGTTTCCACAATTTATCTCTGATTAAGACCAGTGAGACTTCCAAGGCCATTTTTACTATTTGTCCCTAAATAGGCTTGTAAGCAGTAATAAATAATAGGTATTCACATTTTGAAAGGGGGAAATTTTTCAGGACATGCCTTGGTGTACATTTCTTACAACTAAAACAAAAACTACCACAGAACAGGAACTAAACAAAAAAAGACAGCAGACGTTCTTCACGTATTATTGAAAACAAGAAATAACTTTTCAACTGAGACACCGGAGGAAAAATTAGCATCCAAACCACAACAAAACATGCTGTCAGCTGTTGGAGATGTAGATTCATCTATGGTGTGAGGGAGGTGAAACAGCCTCGACAAATTCTTAGCTACAGACAAGAAACCAGAGTAGCAACAGGTTGGGCTGGGAGGAACTGCCTGGGTCACTGTGATACCCTGCCAGAGGGTCAACAGCTCGGAATCCAGTGCCAAAAGAGACCCTAAAACCAGCAGTTTGCTGTGTACCATACTGCAGATGAGCTGAGTCGCCCAGCAAACTTAATTTCAAAGATTGCTGCATGCAAAGATTTTTTTTTTTTTAAATGGTAAAGGAGAGCTGAAAACATGTTTTAGACAAAGGGAGAGGAGAAGGGAAAGAAAAAGAAGAGTTATGGTTGAGTTTCCCAAGTAAAGAGAGGGGGCACTACAACAAAACACGTTAAAACATTTAGGATTAGGCTACTTCTTTCTAGTCTGTCTTTTGAAATTTTAAAAGATGACAAGTACCGTACCTGTTTAGCGTGGGGATGTTCCCTCTGTAATCAAACAACCACAGTTAGTTACAGACTGGTTAGTGAAAGCCATAATAAAGAACCATCATCAAGCTGATGCACAGACGAGCAACAACTTTACAATTGACTGACCCCCAATTTCTCAGCTTTCAGGGAGAATTCACTGTCAGGGGCCCTGAGGAGGCACCACCGCCCGACCTCGCTTGCCATGGGCACGAGCCAGGCCATGCAGAAAACATGCAAATCATAAAACACCCCAGGAAAACACAGTGGGCTTGCAAGGTACCCCATGTTCTTATTCATCTTTTATTGTCCCCACTTCAAGCCCTTTGCACACACCGAGTCAGCTCCACAAAGCAAGACCAGAAGGGAGTTTGCACTCCCTGACAGAACAGCAAACAGCAGAGATGCAAAAAAAAATGACCATCTCACACAGGAAAAATTGCAACAGGTTCAGGAAATCCAAGCCAAATCCTCCTTGCCAAACCTCCAGGCTAAGCAGCAGCCCACGCACCGGCTCCCACAAGGCAGGAATAAAACAAAGACACACAGCACCGGGCAGTAATTTGCATTTTCAGCGTTCAACACCAAAAAGAACAAGCTTAAGGCTAAAAAGAACAAACTTCAGGAAAATTTTACCATTCCTTTTATAACATCAGTCCAACTCTCCACACATCTGCGTGCTGACCAGGGCTTAGTGATGCACACAAGGCAGAGGGGAGTGAGGGGCACATTTTCACAGCAGCAGAACAGCCCAGCCCACAGCAGGTACAGCCAGGAGAGCATGAGGTGGGGTATTGCTCATTCAGGATGGAAAAACTGACGTGCAAAACAGTAAAGGTTAAATTGGAAAAAAAAGAAATCCATGCACACAGGAGGCTTGTGCAAAGAGATGAGCAAGCATGAAAAGATGGAGAGTCTGAGGAGCACATAACAGGACAATCCCCCTCCCCTTCCCTGCAGGAACCTGTAGGAGATCAAACCACAGACTTTCTTGACATCCTTGACCATAGCAAGACCTCAAGTTACTGGGCATGAAGTCTTACTATTTAATGACCAGTGTATCCCCATGGTCACACTGTTAAATATCTTGTCTGTCCCTGGTCCTGTCCCAAACTGGTTTTGTCACAGCAGAGTCATGTTCACTACAGGGTGGGATGCTGGGTGCATTACTGGTAGGGGCACAAAAACATCCCATAATCTCCTTAAGCCATACAGGAGAAAGTAAAAAAAAATTACCTAAAAACGTATCTCTTATGTTAAATAACACAAGAATTTAATTCAATTTGAGGCAGTGGAGAGGGACACGGTGCTGCAGAGCCTGTGGTCAGGACCGAAGGGGCCAGAAGGCCTCAGGGGGTTGGGGCTATTTTTTGAGCTTGGCAAGTAGTGGGAAAGCTGCATGTGATCTACTTCAGTCGGAAAAAATAGTCTGGAGAGGACTGGCAGTTCCTACCCCCGGCAGGAACGCTCCTGTAGCCGTCCCTGGAACGCTTTCAGAAAACAGGGAGAGGAAAAAACAGCGTAACAAATGTTCACTTCAGCCTCAGAAAGGGCACCCTGGTGCCATGCTCCAGGAACTGCCTCCAGCCACTCAGGACGGAGCTGAAGGGACTGTGGCAGGAATGGCATGGAGGAAAACAGGAGATCCAGTGGCTGGAGACGGCAGGGAAAATGGAATAACAGGCTTCAAGCTGCTCAGTGTGGGGCTGGTTTCATATCTACAGGTCATCACATCTGTGGGGGCTTTTCCTAACAGGAGCTAAAGAAGGACATGGAACTTTTGGAGCAAGTCCAGAGGAGGCCACAAAGTTGCTGAAGGGTCTGGAGCACCTCCCCTCTGGAGACAGGCTGGGAGAGCTGGAGCTGTTCATCCTGGAGAAGAGAGGGTTGTGTGGAGACCTCAGAGCTGGAGAGAGACCTTCATCAGGAACTGGAGTGACAGGACAAGGGGGAATGGGGTCAAACTCAAAGAGGGGAAACTTAGTTTGGATACTGGAAGGAATTCCTCCCTGTGAGGGTGGGGAGGCCCTGGCACAGGTTGCCCAGAGAAGCTGTGGCTGCCCCATCCCTGCAATTGTCCAAGGCCAGGTTGGACAGGGCTTGGAGCAACCTGGGCTAGTGGAAGGTGTCCCTGCCCATGGCAGGGGGTGGAACTGGATGGTCTTTAAGGTCCCTTCCAACCCAAACCATTCCATCCTTCTGTGTCAGAGCCCCCCGGCAGCACCGGGGGTGACACGGACACAGCGATGGGGCAGTGCTGGCCCTGCTCCCCTCAGCCCCCTCCCCGGAGCTGACCTGAGGCTCACTCACCTGCTCACCACACCAGCCCCAGCCCTTCTCCTCATCTCTCCTGAACTTCCAAAAAGGCCCTTCTTGGCCGGGGACGCCGATCTCACCAAGGATCTGCTCCACACCGATTCCAGCTCTGCTGTCACCATCACTCCTGCTCCCCCCCACCATGCACCTCCTGGGGAATCTCAGTCTGGTTCTCCTTGTCCCCCTTTTCTTTCTTTTTCCCTTTTTTTGTCTCAGACAGGAGCTCTCTCTCCCCCCAGACCACAGCCATGCATGCGAAGCCCCGCGGGCGAGCTCCAGCTGCGAGCGAGTGCCAGCGCAGGGCAGAGCTTTTGAAATGAGGCAGCAAAGCAGAATCAGCTCAATAACCCACTTGTAGTTATTAACAGCAGTACCACAGGAGAAAGAGCAATTCCACTGGCTCTGACCAGTGCCATTCCTCTTATGTTTCTTCATTTCTGTTGAAGAATCTAACCAGAAGGCTGTGAAACATGCCTCAAACCACACATCTTGATTGGGTTTTTCCTCTCCCTCTTTCTTTCCTTATTCTTCTGCTCCCTCTGTGATTCAGCCAAGCTGAATCTGCTACTGAAGTCCAATTTGCATAAAATTATCGTCGTTCCATTCAGTTTGCTGCCCCTTCCACAGCCCCTTCTTTGCTCTGCTGGAAGATGTTGCCCTTTCCGAAGCAGGCAAGCCAAGGGAACGGCAGCACATTACTGCTGCCTGCTGCCTAATTAACATCAAACCTCAGCACGGAGCTGCAGGGATTTACAGGTGTCCTGGAATCATTTTCCCCTCCTCCCTCCCGATGCAAACCAGTCTCTCACAACAAGGAGGGGACCTCGGGCTGATACCCCACAAGTTATCCCTCTGGGGCTCTGGGTACGGTCAGAGCCCACAGCAGCACAGCTGGCTCACTCCTGGCATCCAAAGACTGATGCAAGAGGCTGTTGTAGCAACTAGTCCACAGAAAATGCTCCCATTTTTGTCAGAAATTCAATTATTATGGGTACATAATTGTAAAATTGTAGTAGGAAGGAACTCACACACACTGCTTTAAAGTGTAAGCAAGTTCTGGAGTTCTTAAAAAAGCACTGTTTGGGAAACAGGGGTATTTAATCTGGCTTTCAGCCTTCCAAATGGTTTCTACCTGTAAGTTAAGGAAGAGGCTGACAAAAAGGAACAACTAAAATATCCCATAGATGATAAAACATCAAGAGACAGCAAAGGAGAGATCACGCTTAAGCCTTGAAATCAGCAACATCTAAGTCCAAGGAGGGTGACAACAAACATCCACAAGCACAGAGAGAGGAGATTCTGGGCAAAACCAAGCACATGCTAGTTGAGACATTTATACTGATGGAGATACCCTTGACAGGGCTCGGAGCAGCCTGGACTAGTGGAAGGTGTCCCTGCCCATGGCAGGGGGTTGGAACAAGATGGTCTTTAAGGTCTCTTCCAGCCCAGGCCATTCTATGGTGTGCTGGTGTGAGACATCTTGTTTATAAAGTTTCCAAAGTAAAACCTGCTTTAAAGGTAAGCAAGCCCATTATCAAAACCTAAAGTCTTCGCCTGCAGTGCTAAAACCTTCCTTACTTCCTCCTTCCAATGGCACATCCTGACCAAGGTCCCTCAGGGCACCTCAAGGCCAAGTGTGGCAGCTGGGGGTGGCACATGGGACAAAGGGAAGGTGTGGGCTCAGTGCCCACATGGATTGGGAAGGCATGGCTGAGGCACCAGGGAGCAAAACTGGCTGGGTTATACTTCAGTTTCCTTTGGGGCTCAACATATCAGAAGGCAGAGCCCTGTGGCATCACTGCCATACCCAAAAATAAAGGTATATCCAGCACCTTGTCAGCACCTGTCTTAGCATCTGACACAGGGAACACATCCACCTCGGAGAACAACAGGGATCTGTTTTGTGGGAACACATTTACCTCCGAGTTCTTCCCCTCTGATCCTCTAGGATCTGCTACTGGGGAAGGAGAAATCAAGGGAGCAGCTGAACACCCTGGCCAGGGGAACGTGGGGAGCTGGAGAAAAGGGGATGCTCTGGGAGGGGCAGAGCAGCTCCAAGAGCTGGCTACAGCAGACAATGTCCCAGTTTAATTTAAACCTTACAGCTCCAGACATAAGAAAGGCTGTTGGAAAGCAGGAGAGGAGAAGGGATTAGAAGAAAACACTTTTGTTGAGAAAGCACTATAATTCCCTCTCCTCGACACACAATGTTTCTTTGAACAGAAGATTTTAAGCTAAGATTAGGCAAGGCCTGTTTCGTGTGTTGAACACCTCAGAAAGGCCTTTCAGTGTCTGTCACCTGGGCTGCCACCCTCACAAAGGCAGCTGAACTCTCTGAACACCAGTCAATATTCCACTCGCTTCCCATCTCAGCAGGGCAGGCAGAACAAGAGGGAAGCAGAGAACAGCTCCAAACAGGGTTCATTTCTTCCTCCCATCTTTTCTCCCCAGGACTCTGGCTGGCTCAGAGAGGCAGGTTATGCCAAGGCAAGAGCTCTGCACACAGCAGTTGTTTTTTGCAGTACCCTCTGCAGCGTGGAGCCATTGGCATCCCGGAGATCCCCTTGGATCGCCCGCTCCAGATTGGATTTCTGCAGCCGCTCTGCTTGGAGAGGGCTCACTAACTCCATTTGCTGCCAGATGGTGACACTGCACTGCTCATCTGCCCACAGTGGGCAGAAGGAATGCTGCTTGGATCTGGGAAGCCCTCGGTGATTTCCATTAGAAGCTGTTTTTCTCCCTAGGACTCTCCCTCACCGTCGGGATCGGGGTGGATTATTACAATAGGATGTTTTCTTTTAAACAAATAATTCCCCAAACAGCTTCTGCCCACAAAACCCACCAGGAGCAGGTTGCATTTCAGTGACTTTGTCAGCAGATTTAACACCTTTTTTGTCCTCTCTGCTTCCATTTAAAGCTTTCCTGTGGGCAGCTGATGGAAATCTTTCCATGGGCAAAAACACAAAGTCTGAGTCCAAGCTGTGATCAGGCAGCTCAGAAGTAGTGATTGGGATTGTTTCTGTCACAATTAAGTAAAGCCATAGCTGGGTTAAATACCAATAAAAAAAGAATTTAAATATAAATTCATAAATTTAATTAGAATTTAAACCATTATCAGTTTGCCATTTTCTCTACATGAACATTTGCTTCAGTAAAATTCGAGCTCTCAAAGGTTCACAGAAATCTGACACAAAAGGGACCAGGGTTTAAAAATATCTAACAAAGTGCTGAAAAATGTGTGGCATCATATAACACCAGTTCCAAAAGTGAACGCTCTCTTAAGGGCTCTGTGATATCTGCTCCTGGTTCACCAGCCCTGCAGAGCCTCAAGGGGCATTTTGGGATATTTTGGCTTTGGGGTTTGCCCTTGGAATGCATTTTTAGCTTTTCAGTCTAAAAGTTCGTGCTACAAAGATACAGCAAAGCATGTGATGAACACAGAACATGGTCAAAAACAACAAAAAAGACTTAAGCAGAACAATGTCAGAATTTTGGGATTTCTGTGTCTTGGGTTTAACACCAGGGGTGCTTTCAGAGCTCCTTAAATCCACACCCTCAGCCCCTGGGCACCCTGTGCTTCACCCTGGGCACACAACAGCCACGCCAGAGGGAGAGCAAGAAGCTGCATCAAGCACCAGGAGCCAAAATCATCCCTGGCAGGTGGAGGCACCTCAAAGGAGCAGAACCTTCCTCTTCAGGTGGTGAACAGGCCCCTGAAGCTGCTTCCCTCTGCACAAGGGCTGCGATGCATTTGTCACCCATCAGCAGCACCGATGGCTGAGGTGCAGAACTGAGCTCAGAACGTGGTCCCAGCCCGTTCAGTGCAAGGGGAGAGGAGATTGGAGGACAAAGAGCTGTTCCTGGAGCAGGAACAGTTCTCTCCCAGCTGACCTTGTCTGATTGTGTGCACAGAACAGGGCAGTGGGCAGCATGGGCAGGCCAAAAATCCCCGAGCAACAAAGGTAACTGAGGCCAGCAGAGAAGAGATGGAGAAAGAACGAGGGGGGAAGAGAGTATTATAAAGGGGTGCTAAAAATAGTATGCAATTATTGACAAATATTCCAGAAATGTAGGAACCAGATGAGCCCAAACTCATGTCCTGTCTGCAGCAGGAGTGGCTGGTGGGGCTGGCTGGGGACAGCCATTCATTTCCAGCAAACCAGGTCCTGGAAACCATTTCATGAAAGGTACTGATGGATTCCCAACGAAGCGAGACCGGACCCCACCAAAAATAAAATCGGGAAAAAGATGCTTGGAAACAAAGGAGGGAAAGAGCAGCGGTGCAGGAGCAGCACAGACCAACAGTGGCACCCGGTGGCCGCGGGGCCTCACTGCGGCCAGCACAGCCAAACATCAAATATCAGCTAAAACACCCTCCTGAGTGAGAAAACACAGCGACTGACTGACCTGGCAGAAGCTGGAGAAGCAACCTGGTCTAGTGGAAGGTTCCCTGCCCATGGAACAAGATGATCTTTAAGGTCCTTTCAACCCAAACCACTCTATGATTCAATGATTTGATTATTCTCTAAGTTCTGATAAGCGAGTTTTCTTTTTTTAAATGCACAAGAGATGCCACCCTTCTCTAGACAGGGCAACAAGAGCTGATGCTTTTGGCTGCAGTCATGAGAAATGCAAAATATTGACTAAAAAAAAAAAAAATCAAACTATGTCAATTCCAGCATTTTATATAAAACACTCAAACGTGCATCTTGGTCTGCTCCAAAAAAACATCTGCTACAGAAGATGTCACCTTATCCAGCAAAGCCAAGGGGGAAAGTAGAGCCAACACAAACAGAAAGGGCTGGCAGGAAGGGGACAGAGGCTGTTTTGACTGTTCTGTATTAAAGTTCTGAGTAATTGATTATTCTGTCTGGAACTGTATCTTTTGGAAGGCTTGGGATTCAGCCAGGACTGATGCTCTAGAGATAAGTTACTGCCCAAGCTGAAGTTAAAAATCAGAAAACACATGAAAACTGTATCATATTTAAATGAATCCAAACTGCACAAACTACAACCCCCAGCTCCTGAAGTTTTAAACAACTCAGGAGAAGGAACTGGGTAATGTAGGTTTTATCTTAAGAAATTTATGCATATTTGAGGCACTGGGGCTCTCCCTTTCTCCACCCATCCTATTGCAAATTATCTTTGCCAAGGCAGGATGAGCCCCTCACAGAGCTCCAGCTCCAAAGGCACCCGAAGACGGGATCTGACCTGTTGGGGTGGGAGGTGGGCAGCATGAACTGGAACTCCACCACGCAGGTGTTGTCCTTCAGCTGGCGGTGCTGGACACTGTTCAGCTCGTAGGCAATGTAGGCCCTCCGAACATACACCTGGGGACAGAGAGGCTGCATCAGCCCCACCCGGCTGGGGAAGCAGAGGGAGAAGGCAAATAACACACCGGAGACTTCAAAAATATTAAAAACCAAACAGGTGCCTCCAAATGAGTACCTAGATAGAACTCTAATTCACTGAGAATTTGAAGTTGTTCTTTTGAGGATGGCCAGTCTGGTAGGACAGAACAATCAGGATTATGACTCCATCCTCTGACAGCAGCTTCGCTTCTGCTTTCAACCACCTCAGACCTCTTCACACATAGATAGCTTGAATTTGAAATTTCAGTCAATTATGAACATTAATGCTGTTAAATGCCAGACTCCAAGTGTGCCCCATTCCACACAACCTACAGTTCTCTTGATCTTGCAGGGTAACAGTGCTCAAAACAAACCAAACCCACAGAAAAATTAAAAATACTCATTTTTTTCAATGGGAATAAACTTACCTCCAAAGCTGCCATTCTTACCACCTGGTTAGTGTGGTAGAAAAAGTTGGGGAGCACATCAAAGATGGATGTTTCGGATAAAATGAGTTTCTGGAAGAGATCACATTAGGCAGGGATTTAAAAGAGAACCATCTTGCAAACAGGGCCAGGTAAAAAATGAAAAACCCCAAATCAAGTCTGACTAGCTCTGATTTCCAAGCTTTTCCCATTGTTCATCAAGGATGATGGACTTTTTATATTAAATCGGAGAATATCTGAAGTTGGAAAGGACTCACAAGGATCACTGAGCTCCTCACAGGACCACCCAATGCTAAACCACACGATGAGCAGTGACATGCAGAAGCTCCTTGAGCTCTGGGCCACGACCACATCCCTGGGGAGCCTGTTCCAGTGCCCAACCACCCCCTCAAGTGAAGAACCTTTTCCTAATGTCCAATCTGAACTTCCCCTGGCACAGCTTCACTCCATTTCCTCGTGCCTGCTGACCAGAGAGAGGAGATCAGCACCTCTCCTCCACTGTCCCCTGTGAGGAAGGTGTAGACTGTCAAGAGGTGATTTTGATATCAGCGGAGGAACGAAAACAAAACAGGGGGCAAAAGCTGGAAACCAGACCAACACCACTGAAAGCCACAAGGACCTTGGGACTGGAGGTGAGATTTATTACAGAACCACGAAGATGAGCGAGAAGAAAGCAGGGGAGCGAGGAGAGGAGCGTGGCAGGTACCTGCAGGTTCTCGATGCAGAACTGGTGCCCGTACATGTCGATGGCGGACAGGAAGATGGACTCGACCTGGTTGTGCCGCAGCTCGTAGGAGGGCAGGTGGGAAGCGATGAGAACCTGGAAAACCACAAACACCAGGAGTGTCAGTGAGAGGAGCCACGCTGGGCCATGGGTGGGGGGCTCCATCCCTGAACCATTCCGCTCAATCCCTGAAGAGGCGACCGGTTCCTCCTGGGAATTCTGCAGCACCTGAGGGATGCTGCAAACTCCCTCCTCTCCCCAGCCTCATTTGTTTATCCGCTCTGTTTGTACCAGTGGCAATTCCCCACAGAGAAAAGGAACAGCTTCAATCAAGTTCCATCAGTGCATGTGATTTAGCAGTGCAGAGCAGTCCTGGGGATTGCCGGGCCGGCTGTTAATTGGGAAGCAGAGCTGGCAGGGAGCAGCTGTGGGAAGGCCCACGCAGAGCTCTGGAGCAGGGGAGACAACAGACACCAGTGCCAGGTATTAAATACCCGACATGAAGGATGCAGAGATAGAAAAGGGAAGCAGCTTGCAGGGAAAATGAAGTGAAAGAGCAGCACAGGGACTGCAGTACCCTCCCCAGTTGCTGCAGGAGAGGTTCAATAACAGAATGGTTCAAGGACACAAACACAACCCTGAAGGAAACAGAAGGTCACTGAGCAGCTTCAAACACCCCGTTCATTTTGAATAGTCAAGCTAAGAAATGAAAGGAGAGATCTCCAAAGTGTCAGCTTTCCTGCTTTAGACTTTTAGGTTGGAGATAGGGACTGTGGAATGAGAGAAGTGATCAGACTCCGGGGTCAGCGTTACCACAAAACCACTGCGCCCTCTCACCCCTTCCTGCAACAGAGGAAGAGTTAAACCAAACTGCTAAAGAAGAAGCTCACAGCAATATCTGTGTGGCCACATAACATTTAAATTAGTTCTGCACTACAGTCTCAGAACTGACAGTATCGAGTTTTTCCAATTATTTTCCTGTTAAAAAAAAATTCACAAAATGCAACTCAAAAGCTGGAAGAAACCAAAAGAGCAACATAATCCTTTGTGATAATTCCTTAGCAGCTGCAAAGAACATCTGGTTCTTGTGTAAATGGCTCTCTCTGTCCTCTATACACAGGGATCCACAATTGTAAGGCAGCTGAGGAACATGGAGAGCATGTCCTTGCTGTTCCTGCACAATCCAGGCAGGCTGTGCTGGTGAGTTTGCAGATGATAAAGCCACCAGGAGCCACAGTGACCATGTATTTCCACCTCCTCTGTCACACAAACCATTGGGCTACTCTCAATTCCCTCCTGTGTGAGCCAGACAAAACTTTTTGGAGGAGAAGGGACAAAGGAATGTATCTTAACTTTAAATATTACAGTGATCGGGAATCCACTGCAATCTTAGCCTGTCACCACAGTCAATCACTGGTTAATGAGCTTCACTGTCAAAGCTGCTCACAGTATCTACTCTCTCCATTTGAACAGTAATCAAAACAAACATCAAGAGATACAGACTTCCCAGAGGGGTGAGCTCCAGGCAGGAACAGTTCCATACTGAATCAGGGATCAGCTGGGATTGCTGGACACACTCCCTTACCTGCCGTGCCCGCAGGGCCACCTTGGCGTTGGTCGTCTTGCTGAGCTGGGTCAGCTCTGTCAGAATATTGATCAGCTCATCTGTCAAGGTGGGGTCACGGCCACAGAGTTGGTCCTGGCAATGAACAGAACAGGAAATTATTAGAACAAGAGGGAAACCACCTTCCATCCTCCCTCAAAGGAGTTCAAGCCTGGAATACATCCACACAACAAAACCAAAGAGCATAACTGCCAGTGTTAATGCTGTTCCAAAACTCTTCTGAATTCTTCCATTCAGTAAAATGCAACCAGTAAAGACTTTCTTCCAAAAATAGTTTTGATTTCCACCATGAATAATCCCACAGTCTTTGACTCTTCTTCTGAGCCTCCCACTCCCAAAGCTGAAAACCCTCTAGGAGCCTCTAACGTGTTCCTTCCACACAGCACTTAACAGCTTGTCTTGGTAAATTAATCATAGGAGGGAAATGTGAGATGAAACAGGAATTTGCCACGAGAAAGAGTTGGTGCCTTAAAGTTTTAAGATATTCTGAACACCTACAGTCTAGAAAAGGCCCTTTGAAGATCCAAGAAATAGAAAAGTATAAGAGGAGACCTCTGTGCAGCAGGTTAGATAGATAAGCCTGTCAGAGAAAATAAAGTAAAAACCAAACACAAATAACACAAGTCCCATAGACTGACTGACGAGAACAGCTCATGAGATTCCAAAGCTAAAGAGCTTTTCCCCCACATTGCTCTTGATCCCTTTCTCTCTGACCCCACTCAAGCACAATGGCACCTCTAGGAACAATGACACAGGTCTCTCAGGGAGAGACCCAAATCCCTCTGATTAAAAAAATCTAAGCTCCTAACTCTGATCAGGTTGCTGTCCCCTCCTAACCAGTCTTGGGCCAGCAAACGTTGCAGTGATTGCTCCCAAAGAAAGTTTTGTGCATTTATCCACTCCAGGACACTGTGGGAATTCACAGTGAATAATTCAAGAACTGCCTTGGTCGGATTTGAAACACAAATTCCAGGGTGTTGTAATGTTGCTGCTCCAGGTAACAGAAATCCGACAGGACACGGGACTCCTGCCATGCCACCAGCCATTCCTCCTGCTAAGGCAGGTGTGTGCATAGAGCAGCCAGTTAAGTACAGAAAATGAACATATAACAACAAATCACACTGTATTTCAACAAATATATGAAGGATGAAGTAGTTCCCACCCTGCCTTAGGAGCCTGCTGGCTACAAAAGGTGAATGATGGCAGCACAGCACTATTATTAAAACCATCCTCGGAGCCGCTTGTTAGTAATGGATTCCTGGGATACATCAATAACAGCCACAGAGGCATCGAGGTACTTGGACATGTCGCTGCCCTTGGACAAACTTAACCCACCCCACAGAAACATCTTGGCCACCCATAAAACACCACAGCCTCCACCATGGTGACACCAAACGCGCCACCGGGTCCCTTGGACGTGAAGAGTCAGATGGAAGAGGAGTGACCGTTGTTTGTTTCCCAGCATGTTCCGAAACTCAGGGGAAGCCAGCTGTGCCATGGGTGACCAAAGGCACATCGCCCCTCCTGAGCCCCTGTTCCCACTCCAGAGAAGTCCCTGAGACACCCACGAGGGCAGACCCCGTGGCAAGGCGGCACCGCGCTGGCAGCGGCCGCTCCAGCAGCACTCGGGTCACCCAGAAGGGTTCTTCCACCTCCGCTGTTTCAAATTCCAGCAAACTGGGACGTTGGCCTTTACTTGAGCAGAAATAACTGACAGCGGTGGGAAGAGCGACCACACAGGAAGGGAAAAGGGAAAGCTCCTTGAGGCCTCCCCGCACGCCCCTCGCTCCCTCAGACGGCCAAGGCAGGGCCCAGCGAGGCCCTGCCTCCCCGACACGGCCTGTGCAAGGGGCAACGAGCCAGGCCAAAAGTTTCGGTCCCATTTTAGCAAGAAACAATCGGGATGACAACAACAGAATACAGCCGGGCGCTGGCGCCGCGCTGGCTTCGCCTGCTCCGATTGGCAAAGGCAGCAGCGAAGCCTCAAACCAGCTCTTTGACAAGGGCTAACGCCTCGCCGGCACCCCTGTGTAATTACACACTTGAGTGACTGGACTCTGAAGAAAATTGAAGGCCTGAGCTGAGAACAGCTGCCATTTTCTCTCTCCATCACGCCAGCATGATTACTTGAGAAATGAACAGCCCCGGCTCAAAGCTACTCCAGAATTCTCAGAGGAAATATGGCTCCGTGTTCAAATAATGAGATTCTTAAGGCAAGCGTTACTTACAATCACACCACACACCAAAAAGGGAAAGGGGAGGAAAAGAGGGGAAAAAGGAGAGCCAGAAAGAAAGAATTCCAGGGTACTTCCATCTTACAAATGAGAATTTAAGAAACCCAGTCTCGGCCTAGGAAAATTATGATACTTCATTTGCTTTGGAGAGTTATTTTGTGGATGGCTACTTAGGATATATTTTTGGCAGTAACAGACCATATTATGTTTGTAAAATAAAAGAAGAAAGAAAACGAATTTGGGGAAAAAGAAGAGACAGTATTGGAATCAGCCTCTTAAAAAGCAGGACACCCAAATCCAGTCTGTTGGAAATCGTGTTGTAGCAAAATTCATCCTGCCTTGAGGAAGGTGAGCGCTCGTTCTGCATCAAAGCATCATGTGAGACAAGGATTCTTTGGCCCATTTTAGGAAACAGCAAAAAGAGACAGGCCTCAATCGGGTTTTTTTAATTATTTTTTCTGGGAATGTAATTTACTGGGAGTTTTACCCATTAGAGTGGGAATGAAGTTAATGAGGACTGAGAATTTTCATGGAGTAACAAGCCAGAAGAACACAAGAAGGAGATGGTGGCACGAGGATTCCTTGTGTTTCTGAGGTGGAATCTATGTCTGACCAAGATAAATTCCAGCCCCAGGAGATTCCCATTCCCTCTGTAAGCCCCTGAACAGCCACACACATCCTAAGGGGCAAAGGTCTGATCTGGAGTGACCAACTCTGGGCTGACACTGAGCCCTGCCAGAGTCCTTCGTGCAGCCCAAGGACAGCCAGTCCAAAAGCACCACTGCAGACCCCAGACAAGACTTTCTGGGACTCCACCCAGGGAGAAGGAATCACTGCCAAACCTGTAAGACCAAACTATGGCTCAGCAAGGAAGAGCCCTCAGGGGCCTCGATACGGGCTGATGCCATTCACTGCCCATCTCCCTTCCTTAGCAAAGAAGGACCATAAAAATCTTGCTGCTACTACAGAATTACCACCACAAAAAGAAACCACCTGCTTTTCGTGGGTTTGAGCTGCCAATGCAGTACCTTTCCAAGCATCCCACACACAGGGAGCAGCAGCAGCAGCCACTTACAATGAGCATTGTAACCAGCAGGTTCTTCTTGGTGACCTGGGCGTGTGAGAAGATGTAGTTCAACACCGCGTTCATGTCGCTTTTGTTCTCCTCCCGAAGGGTGAAGACACACTTGTCATAGTGACCTGCAAGCAGAAATGCACAATTTTTTCCCCAGTCTTCACACCTCTGTGTCAAGGAATACAAGTTACTGATGTGTCTTTATCTTTCTACGTATATTTTTTAATAATCTCCTTTGCATGGTACCTGAAGGGAGTTGACAAGAAAGATGGAGAGAGACTATTGCCAAGGGCCTGGAGTGATAGGACAGGGCGGAATGGCTTCACACTGCCAGAGGGCAGGGTTAGATTGGATTTTGGGATGAAATTCTTCCCTCTGAAGGTGTGGAGGCTCTGACACAGGCTGCCCAGAGAAGCTGTGGCTGCCCCATCCCTGCAAGTGTCCAAGGTCGGGTTGGACGGGGCTTGGAGCAACCTGGGCTAGTGGAAGATGTCCCTGCCCATGGCAGGGGGTGGAACTGGATGGTCTTTAAGGTCCCTTCCAACCTAAACCATTCTATGGTCCACACAATCCATTTTGGGAAGGAAGCATTCCCACCACCACAAACTGCAAACTTTAATTCAAACATCCTACTCTTATTAAACAGCTCCTACACCAAATGCCTCCTTCGTGAGCAATACAGAGAGGAATGGTTGGCTCAGACTTTCATTCAAATGACAACTGGAATGAAATAACAGCAAAAAGCCTTGCACCATCCTCTACTGTCAGCAAATTGAAGTGGAAATGAACCTGCAGTAGCATTAGGCTGGTGCAGGTAATGGAGCAGGACAAAAGAAGAGTGGAATCTGAACTACCTGTAAGAGCCAGAGCCTTGGAATTAGCCAGGGCTTCATTGCCATCTTGTGCCTGGATACAGCAGTGCAAGGCATTGATTTCACCTCAGCTTCAGACTGAGCTCAGGGACAGCAAACAGCTTCCTGGCACTTTACAGCAGGTAACTCAGTGACTTTTGGTTTTACTGCACTTGATTTCCTCACCATAGAACTTAACAAAAAGGCAAGACAGAACTAAATTATGTGGTGAATTTAAATAGGTTTTCTGATTCCAGTTTTTCCTGCAGATGCGCAGAAATCAGGAAATACAAATCAAGCTTCCAACGTGAAGATTCTACACGTGGAATATCCAAGCAGGGGAATTCACCAGTGGTGGGTCACTGCTGACAGAGTCAGGGAGGGAAAACTGCTTCACCTCTGATCTGGAACAAGCAGAGACCACACAGAGTGGCTCAGCCTTAGTGAGCTCAGTGAGAGACCAGAAATGGCAACACAACTCATAATTCAGCAAGTCTATCTTTTCACTCCAGGTCATACAAAAGTCCTCAATTAAAGGATCAGGAACTCCTATGGAAGTTATTTGTTTGAAGTTACAAGGAAAAGGAGCATTTCTACACTGAAAAGAGACCAGAATCACATCATGACAGAGCAGGATAACCAGAATCATTCCAGTGGCACGGGATGTAAAAGAAGAAGGACAAACCACCAGAGGAAAACCAGCAGAACAGACAGATCTGGAGTGGAGTTTGTCATTTGCCTCTTGAACACTCTTACCATGAAAACTCAAAGGGGACAGAAGCTCCTCTACAAAAGCCAGGATCCGACTGCAGACCCTTGAAAACAAGCCTGTGCAGTTCACCCTCACCATGAAGTCGGAGTAAACCGCCTCAAAGGGGCCCAATGTGGACTTTCTGGGACCAAGTATGGCTTCAGAAATCAAATCCTTGGTGTGCTCAGACACTCACCGTGCTGGAACTGAGTCTCCACCTTCAGGTACTGACGGAGCAGATCCATCACCACGGCCTTCATGTGGCCCCGGATCCCACTGCGGTACCTGCAGAAACCCAGCACGGAGTGAGCCTGCTTGAACACACAACCCCTGCCTCCCCCGCTGTGGGGAGGAGCTCACATTTTGCAGGACACCCCTGGAAATGGCTCACCTCTGCACGAGCTGCACAATGCTCTGAGTGTTCATGAAGAAAACCTCCCGCTCCGACTTGCGGTTCAGGGTGGCGGCGTGGCTGTCCAGGATATTGGCAATCTGCAAGACAGCAACCACATGACAGTCCCGGTTCTGGATGGGATCATCTGGCTGAAGAGCCAGCAGAGAGTCTGAGAACTTCCAGGCACACCAGAGAGAGCTCCAGCAGAGTCCAGTAAAAGCCAAAGCCTTACACTGCTGAGGAAGTTAATGACCCAACAATGACACAAGAATCAACGCATGATTTATACAGTGGAGAAATCATCCTCCAACATCTCTTGACCTGGTCAGGTCTTCCTTGGCTGCAGTTATTCTTTTTTAAGGTGCAAATTGCACTGCAGCACATGTACCAGGCAAAAAGCAAACAAACAAATGCCCACAAAGCCACTGGTGAGATTAAAGTGTTTCTAAACCGCCTGTTTAAAGCTACACCGAGCAGGGAACACATACCCTTCAGCACAGAGGAAGGAGACAAGCCTTTAAGTTCAAGTGATACAGGTAAGCATCTTTCATCATGAAGATCCCACGTTCCAACACACCTTTCAGGTTCAATTAATCTCCAGGTAATTTAAAGGAACCTTCTGCCCCAACACAAATCAACTTTTATCCCCCTCTAGAAGCGTGGTTGATCACCTGTTGGCTGGGAAACTGGCAGAGGACTGATGTGATGTTGCTGGCATATTGGGCCATCTCTTTCTTGATGGACTTCTCTACATTGGGTGGGATCCGCCCAGACACACTGGTCATGATGTCCTGAAGTTCCAGCAGAGGCAAAGATGGATCTCTCAGAGTCTTCATCAGTCGCTCCACCCAGCCTTTCACCTACAGAGACAAGGCAGTGTAAAGACAAGTATGAGGAAGAGAATAAGCAGCAAGAAGGGAAAAAAGGAAAGGGGACTCTCCCATCTGGACATCAGAAGGAATTTCTGGGTGGAGTCCCCATCCCTGAAGTTGTTCAGGATACGACTGCACATGGCACACAGTGCTCTGGTCTGGTTGATAAGGTGGGTCACAGGTTGGTCTCCATGGTCCTGGAGGTCTCTTCCAACCTAATTGATTCTATGATTCTGCTGTGACTAGACCTCTCCAAGAGAGAAGGACATGGATGCACGAGGTGTGCTTGGACCCTGTGAGATCTTCCTCTCTGGTGAGACTGACCACAAGAAGTCTAAGCAAACCCAGCTGAGCTGGCCACAGCAGGGCACCACTGCCCTGACTCTGGGTCCTCTGGCTGTGACAGGCAAATTGGCCAACCCTGCCCTGAGCTGAAAGAATATTGTGCTCTGGCTCTGCAACAAGAAGCACCCAGTACCTTGCTGCTGAAGAAGGGCTCTGGCAGGCAGTACCCGTTCATCACATTGACCAGGTTATCCAGCACGTAATGGAAGATGCGATGGAGTTTCTCCCCTCTGAGTGCTGTGCTCTGGATCTGGGGCAGGGTACCCGTGTGCAGCTCAGCCTGGAACAACAACAGTGGCACTGACCCCCCTCTGTGGCATCAGCCAGGGGGGCAATGTCCAGGCACCCTCAACTGGAGCCTCAGATTTAGTTTGGAAGGATTCCCAGAGCGGAAAAGGCACTTGGTTGAGAGACACAAACCCACATTAGTACTGAGGTAAGAAGAGACAACAGGAATGGTAGAATTATCCTGAATCAGAGAGAGAGAGAATAATCTGAGTCCAGTCCTCAACTGAGACAAATGAATGGTGAAGTGACAATTCCAGTACAATGCACAAATGGGAAACTGGTTCACTGGACCATCTCGTACCACTCTCAACATCACTCCCCTATTAAAAACCCCAACAACATCTGTGCTTCCTGCAACTCCTCACCTGCTGAACCCTGCTGGGATCATCCAGCTGGAGCTTGGCAATCACACAGCCTGGGTCCAGGACTGCCCCTGGCCGTTTGACATAGTGGATGCAGCCTGATTCCCCTGCTGATACCGTCATCACCATTTTCATTACCTGCACAAGGAAAACAGGTTACACACTCAGCTTCCATGTGCCCCAAAATGGTTCTAGTCTTGGGAGGCAGTGTCCCACCACAGACAGACCTACATGAGCAGCTTGGCATTCAGGCTTTCCCAAAAGCTTACAAACACACACACTGGGAACAAACCCAAACACTAAGGTGAATGGGAGAACCAAATAATTGGCCACAAATCAGTGCAGCATGAAACCATCCTCAGGAATGTCACCTGCTCCATGCTGCCAGAACCAACGGGGACCCAGGAAGGTCCCACACTCAGCACAATGAACAAAGCAGACAATTTACTGCTGCAGCTGTTGGACTCCAAAGGCTCCTCTCAAAAGCTACAGCAACACCTTCACTTTGAGCAGAGGGAACCAGGGTCACCTTCTAGAGCCCTCAGACAGTTCTTCCCAGACAGAAAGGCTTTCTTAGATCAACCATGGAAGCTCCTGCCTTTGGAGTAGAAGGGTTGGGCACGGGGGAACCAGCTTGGTTCTACCCTTACTATGCTCTACCCAACTGGGAGCACAGGGACTGTGTAGGTGGTTCCCTCTCAGCCATGACCCTGTTGCAGTGTAAAAGCACTTACATAAAATAACTGGATCTGTGTCTTGATATTTTTCTCCTACACATTATCCCCAAGTGGTTTAATTGCCCCTCTGTCATCACACACCCTCCCCTCCCTCAAATCTGTTTTGAGCCACACACTCCTACACAACCCCTCGTGCTTTCCTCACCGAGATGCAGAAATTGCTCATCCTCCTCCTCTGGAAGAGTTAAGTAACTTCCAAGGGAGAAGGGAGGAGTGACACTTATTAACTCATCCGATCAACCTGATAAATGATCAGGTAATCAGAGAAGTCTTAGTTTCTTACTTAATCCTGGCACATAAGTCTGCTTCTGAGTCTGTGTTAGTACTACAGGTGGAAGGTCTGGGGCTTTTCACTGGACACCTGCTCCTGCTCCTACAATGGTCTTCTTCACCACCGCTGGAAAACACGTGGATCCCACTCTCCCTTGGAATCACAGCAAGATGACAACCATGGTCTCACTGCTGAGAAATTCTGCTTAGCACTGAGTGTACAGTCATTAACACTCCAGTTTCAGCTGTTCAGTAATTTTCTCCCCACTCCATCACTCTCACTGATTCCTGCTTTAGTCCAGGTTAAAACACGGACAAAACTTGGAAAGGAAGTGCTGTGAATTATCCCTCGTGCTCAACCCCCGGTTCCAAAGCATTTAATATCCCTCCCCCTCAGCTGGGCAGCCAAGTCAGTTCTTTGAGACTCTTTTACCTCGATTTCTGCAAAGCACTGGCCTGCAAACACGTGTCCCCCATCCTCCACCACGTACTGGATCAGCTTCCCCGCCGAAGGCGAGCGCAGGATGGAGGGATCGTTCTCCTTCTCAAACACACACGTCTTGTTCCCTATAGTGATGCGGTACCTAGGAAAGAGTGGGACAAATCACTGCCACAGAATTCCCTGGGGAAGGCAGGGCAAGGGGGAAATGCATTCTCTCTTTCCCTATTCTAGCTCAAAATAAAACTGAAGGAAAACACCTCAACCAACTGAGAGGTGGAGATTCTGTAGTATTTCAAGCCCAAAAGTTATCCAACATCTTTGTCCTCCTGACCAATTTGTTAAGTTTCCAGGAACAGAACCCAGCAGGTGGAGCAAAGGTTCACATTCCAGACTGGGGATTTTCTGGTCTCACTGCTGTGATCCTTGCAGGGAATTTTGAGGGAATGCACTGAAACAGCACATCTTGTCTCTATTTCTAAGGCAGCTGTGGAGTTTCAAGGATTTTAAAGATTTTCATGTTCTGGTTTTCGGTTTTTTATAATCCCAAAGGGCATTTTCGAAGAACCAGCAGAGGAACAGGGACTCCACATTGGTGCACATTCAGATCTTCCTTCTAACACTAACCAAGATCTGCTCTCCAGGTGAAGGCAACTTCTCCCTTTAAACTCATCCACAACATACCTAGGAACCTCTTCCTAAGAGAGAATTCCATTCCCAGCTGATCTTTGGGAGGCATAAAGTTACAAGTACACCCAAGTTTGACTTGTATGTAAATGTTAAACATTAATCTGTACCTGTCCACTTCTTCTTTCATGTAGGTGGTGTAGCTGCTGCCATCATAGGAGAGGAGCAGTCCCCCATCACTCAGCCTGTGCACATCCACTTCCACACAGGAGTTGTTCATGATCACCACGTAGGAATTGGGAGACTGCCGGGTCACCTGCAGGTCCACAGGAATGGCAAATATCCCATGAATTAAACACAGCATTGAGAGTGCCTTAGTTGCCACAACACACAGTTTTCCAAGCGTTGCAATAGTGGGAATTGAAGAAGGGGAACAGAGACATTTGTTTTCATGTAAAAAAATTTGGGGTCATAAAGCCAAGCATTTGGCAGTCAGGAGATGCCAGAACTAATGCTGTCCATGAATCTCAATTTAATCCTCTCACACTCAAGGTCTGACTGTGGAGGTTTGATTGTGCAATCATGGATCATTTCTTCACCCTGATCTACGGATGAGTCACGGTCGCGTACTAAAACTGCATAATGGAGGAGAGAATTTGGGGGGAAAACAGAGAGACTCTCCCACAGGGAAAGCAACAAATGCTCTCCCTAGAGAGAGGGATCCTATCACAGTCTCTGCCCCAGAGCTCCTTTCTGAAGGTGGGTAAATGCCTTAAAGAAACTTCAGCTGCTGCTCAGTGCCTCTGTTCCTCATCAGAGGGGTGCCAAGATGAAACCAGGGAGGTGCAGGGGTGCAGAACACTCAGAACTGCAAAAACCAGCATATGGTCACATCTACAAAAACTTCACCATCCCAAATGTGCCCAAGGAAGCTAATGAAGATTGCACAGGCAACCTTAAGTCTTATATTTCCTAACTTTTGCATGTCTGGTTTCACAATATCGGGTTTTGCACTCAGTAAAGAAAGAGCAACAGTAAAGAAACAAATTGCTACAAATTCTGTCACGTTGATGGGTGAAAAACCACATATTCAGAAACATCAACTGAAAGTTTTGGTCAACCTGTAGCAGTTTTGCCTATAACAAAGTAATTTTCACCCTACCCAGAGCATTTCTTGACTCCAAGAGGTTGAAATGTTTAAAGAGATACGGGAATGGAAAGATGGGATGGGGTGTTATCATAAGGGAGGTTATACTGATTTCTTCACCCACTGAAGCAGAGAAAATAAACCCTGTTCAGGTGTAATTCCCATAATTACACGTTCTACAAAGACTAAGCCAGAGCAGCACACACAGGAGGATGGTTTTCCCCACTGTCCATCGTACCTTCAGCACATACTTCTTTCCCTCATAGATGAGTTCCACGTCCACAGTGTTCAGCAGGGTATGAGCAGGCAAGACTTGGCCCCTGGGAAGAGAAGTACAAAACAAAACTGATCTTCCACAAGCCACCAAACAGCTACCAGGGGTCCAAATGGGTTCAAAGATGCATGCAAGGAATTGGGAAACGGCAGCAGAGAAATGGGAGAAGGTTTTTATAGAGTCTCTTCTTAGGAGAGACATTTATCAGTTTGACAACGTGAGCCCATCTCCCCCCAGCTACACAGGCTGGCTTTGCTCTCTTTTCCATTCACCCAGGGGTGATTCAAGATTCCCTAATGCTGCCCTAGCAGCACACAGAGAAAGAACTCCATGTTTCTGAGCCATTTCCTGGAGCTTCTGCCAAAACTGCCAGAAACCAAACCCATCTGTGCAAACAGCAGGGGATATTTTGGGGAAATGCACAGATACCTGCCAGCTTTCTCAGGCCAGCGGAAAAACAGCTTCTTGGGGCAGTGAACAGTCAGCAAATAACAAGCCCTGAGTATTTCTGGACTGGATTGAACGAAACTTGTAAGTCAGAGCTAATTACTAGAGAGCACTTGTGCTTTTACCTTTCCAGGGAGTGCAGGAAGTTGGAGACGCTGTTCCGTAAGCTCACGTCAGCCACGTGCAGAGCCCCACACACCACTCCCAGCATGGTGTCAGGCCTCTCAGCCTGAAAAGAGGGGACACAGGGCAGAGTCACACCTCCTTCAGCTTCAGCCCAGTCTGGAGACCGGACAAGAATCACCAGTCTCAGCTTTATTTTTGATTCATGGCCACCATCTCTTTAAAGTTTAGTTGCTGTAGCAGCCACATAAACTCTGCACAGAAGCAATTACCTCTGTAATTCCTTAAAATTACATCTTTTTCTTCCTGGATCAAATCTTGAGACTCCAAAACACTTGTCTTAATTCCCACATGCACTAAAGATGCTTTTCTGGCCAACTTTAAGACCAACTTTCCCCAGCAGGCACAACCTGGGGTTTTGATATACATAAGAATTAAGGCCAGTGAAAATTCATTAAGTGGACATTAACCACTCCTAAATCCTCATGCTTTTGCATCAGCACACAGCAAGCCCTTCCCCTCCTCTTTCCCATGTGTATTCCTGCAAGGAAAGCAGCTGGACCTGCACTTTCTCAGCGATGAGCCGGTCCAGCCAGCCCGTGTCGATGCGGTTCTGCTGGAAGCTCTCCGTTTCCAGCAGCTTGATCAAGTACTCCACAGTGGTTCGGAAGTCCCCTCGGATGGACAGCTCCTTCAAAGCCACCACCATGTTTCTGAAAGGGAAAAGAATCCCTCTTATCTATCCCATGCTAACGGTGATGTGCAAGCTGGCAGCTCCAGACAGCTCCCTGTGAGCTGCTGGCAAAAGCAGCCTGAAGGGAAGAGCAGAGCACGTGCACTGGAGCAAGGCCCTGGATGGCATGTTTGGGAATGAGAGAATATTGATCTTCTTCAGCCTGCTGCTGGTGTGAAGAAGAGCAGCTCAGTGGGATCAGGAGTTCCCCCTGCTATCACCACCCAGGCACCCCCCACGTGTCAGAGGTGTACAGCACACTTGGTCTCCATCTCACCCAGAAGGATTAAAAACATGGAAGACAAGTCTGACAACCCTGTCCTAGGACCAGATGCTTTAATATTCCACACCACAAGGGCACTCAATGGTTTACAAACCATCCTAGGGCATCAGCATAACAAGTCAGCAATGTTTTTCCTGTTAGAAGTCTTCACCTGAACACTTCAAAGAGGTTCTTCCAGCAGCAGGGATGCAAGGCAGGGATGAAAGAGGCAGGAAAAGAGGAAAGAAAATTAAGCAAAAAGTGTAGAAATGTAAGTGCAACATAGTGGAATTGCAAAGCAAGAGGGATGAGAAGCCTGACCATGATGTGGAAAACAAGGTATAGAGAGGGAAACTTCTCTTAAAACTCCTAGGAGTAAGGAGTCTTGTTTTTCCATGGCAGTTTGGATCAAAGAGCACAAAACTAAGCAATTTCCAAGGCTCTACCACATTTCTGACTACTCACGAAATGGCTTCTTCACGATTTTCTCCCCAGGAGAAGCAGTGACCAAACTGAGAATCAGCAAACTCATGGAGCCCTCCTGCAGCAGCAACACTGAAATAGCCCCAGACGTTCTTATTGCTGCGGAAATTCAGCTCCTGAACTGTTCCAGAACTGGGCTTAAATCCCTGTAAAGACAGACAGACATTGCTCTACATCCTAAGGAAAAAGTAAATAACCCAGAATTAGGGAAGCAATTAGAGTTCTGAAGGCTCTTAGAACACCTCTTAGTGCTGCAACCTGATATACACATAAATAAGTTCTGGCTGTGTCTAACCAGAGCCCAGAGAACCATCAGCCAAGTGAGGTAAGGGAAGAACCTTTTGAATTTGCTGCCAAAATTTTCAGGAGCAGCAGCAGGGATTGACCCAAGGTGTGAAGTCTGTGGTGAGCAGTAACTACAGAATTTAAGGCCTCACCTCATCAGGATTCTCACTGGTGATCCGTGCAGCGATGACATGGCCACGGGGACTGGGGACATGGGCTGAATTCTCAAAATCAATGGTTGTGTCTCCCCATGGAGAAACACCATACATCACCCGGATATCCTTGATCCTGTGGAGGGGGACACCCATGGCAATCTAAGGAGAAAAAGAAATATTAAAAGAAACCACCACTAAGTTTCTCTCCTCGCAGACCTGAACATTCCCATTTCCCAGGACAGCTGAGCTCAGTGTAATATCCACCTTAAGCCCTTCAGTCAGTATTTTCCATTGACTGATTAAAAGGCTCCAGGGAAAGCAGACGGTGCTAGGTCAGCTGAGGATGGGCATTAGGCCTGTTAAAAATACACTGAGGTCCCAGTGAGACAGGAGGGTCCTAAGTGGTTATAGGAAACCGTGGAATTTTGCAACTACAAACCGTGGAGAGAGTAACCTGCAGAACCAGCTGCTGGCTGCATCTTATGGAGTAAAGTCCCACTTATTCTGTTCATTAGTTGGAGGCTTTTTATAGATAGAGTTCAAAAATGAAGTGGAAAAGCACCTAGAGCCCTAATATGGTGTGAGGGGACTGTGGCATTCCCTCACTGCTGGAAAAGCTTGGGGCTGGGAAGAGGGAGGGAGCTGGGCAGCACACAGGAGTTCAGGGGGACACACATGGGACAGACAACAACTGCTTTCTGCAGGACCTGTGAGGGATCCCCTCGTGACTTTGGGAAACTTCAAACAACTGCTGAGCTTGCTGAAAGATGAAAAATCCAGTTGTCTGTTCTGTTTTCCCTCCTTTTGTCCTAGGAACTCTGGGCAGAGGCTGCTGTCCCTCGGGGGCGGAGTGGGCAACGCTCTGCCCAGAACTGGCACTGCAGCCTCAGAAGCCAACTCATTCACAAAGGAATTTCAGAGCCTATAGTTGAACTATTCATGGTCAAAGCTTGTCAAGACAGGCTTTCTTCCCCACCTTTCTTTAACCTTTCCTTAAATCAGTTTTCCCATTCAGTGTTTTATTCTCCTCTTGCTTCCCTTCACACTCCTTTTACCTTAAGGCCGACCAGGAGAAACAATTAGAAGGTAACCTGCCTTTGCTTTCCAACAGCAGGGATGCATAAATATTTTTGGATACTGAATGAAGCTTTGCTCCAGCTGAGAAAGTACCAAAATGGGCCTTGGACTTATTGGGGATTTTTGCTGAAGAGGAAATGTGTGGGAGTCACGTATCACCTACCTGCACATGGGATATAGGTTACATGGGATTGTAGAGCTCTCTAATGTGTCCTTTGTGTTCTCTCCTCTATCAGCACCAAGACCTAGAGATCTGTACCATGTCAGTGTGTGATCCAGCTCTAACCCAGCACCCAGCTGGGCTCAGACAAGAGCCCTCCCCACTTGTTTCACTAAGCGTTCAGCAGAACAGGTTTTTCATGCTCAGGTCTCTTCCAGGTACCACTGATCAAACACTTCTGAAAGCCTCCAAGAGCACAGGGCCCTGCCCCTGGCTCACCTGGAGCACAGGGCCCTGCCCCTGGCTCACCTGGAGCACAGGGCCCTGCCCCTGGCTCACCTGGAGCACAGGACCTGCCCCTGGCTCACCTGGAGCACAGGACCTGCCCCTGGCTCACCTGGAGCACAGGACCTGCCCCTGGCTCACCTGGAGCTGTGCTGCAGGCAGGTTGACATCAGCCACCATCTCTGTGCAGGGATGCTCCACTTGCAGGCGGGGGTTGAGCTCCAGGAAGTAGAAGCTGCCATCCTGGCTGTACAGGTACTCCACAGTGCCTGCACTCACGTATCCCACCATTTTGGCAAGCTTCACAGCACACTAGGACACGGGGAAAAAACAGGATTTCACTTCCAGGCCTCGTGCTCAGTTACCTGCACCCTGTTCATCCGCCCCATCCACTTCAGAACTTTGCTGGCGTTCTGAAACACCCCAAAGCTTGTACCAGGCCTGAGACCTGCACTCAGCACTAGACAATTCACACAACTCCTGCAGCTTGCTTTTAATGTGATAACACACATTTAAACCACACTTCTCTCCCATTTTGGGGGTGCAAACATCTTTGAAGGGAGCTCTACTGCTGTCTGTGAGGACATGGGACTGTCAGCGTGGAAAGGTGAGTGGCTGCCCACACCAAGCAGTTTAAGACACACAACTCCACGTCGCTCTTTTAAAAAAGAGTCAACAGTGCACAAGTCTAGTGAGGTAAAATAAAAGCAAGAAGTCCTGCCTGTTTCTGGAGCCTGACCAGGAGAAGGGAACCTGCAGAGCCACCCTCACCTGCTCCATGTGCTCAAACACTGTGGAAGTTGCAATAGAGGCAGGAGCCTCCTCGATGATCTTCTGGTGCCTGCGCTGCACGGAGCAGTCCCGGCCGAAGAGGGAGATGGCATTGCCATACTGGTCTGCCAGGATCTGCACCTCCAGGTGCCTGGACTGCTTGGCCAGTCTCATCACAAAGATGGGAGAGCCCGGCACTTCAGTCTGGACCTACAGCAGAGACACAAGGAACAGGCAGAGCACCTCTGGTAAACACCCGTCTCGGTCACAACCAGCCCAAGTCACTTCTGGAGCGAGGAACATCCACGTTATTTCCCCTGGGCCACCCAAAGCTCAGTCATTTGCTACAGTGGCCTCAGAATCACCCAACCTGAACATTTAGAACAAGGTAGCACAAACCAAGGGGAAAAGTTACCTGTCTGAACAGACTGGGGAAGTCATCTGCATTGTTAACTTTCCTGATTCCTTTTCCTCCTCCTCCTTCAGAAGCCTTGATCATCACAGGGTAGCCAACCTCCTCAGCAGCCTGGCCAAGATGGGCAGAAAAAGAGGGGTAAGTACAAAAAGGCAGCAGAATCAAGTTGAAAAGATCATTATTTCCCTGTTGATTCACATCCAAGCTTCCACATCTGACTCTATTTAGCAACCAATGGGATAGAACCCAAATCAGCAGGGATTTTGTGACTACAGAGAACTCTGGCCTCTCAAAGTGATCACGAAATCTTTTGTCAGTGCTTCAGTGCCAGTAAATTTACAAACTGACTGGATTTTGTACAATACAGAAAATCAGTAAGCTAGGTAAAACAGAAAAAAAATCATATACTCCACCCCCTCTCTTCCCAAAAGAAAACTCCACATCCTGTATTGTGCCAGGAATATTTCTTATTCTAGAAATCTTCCTCAGGGAAGGATGAAATCAAGTGTGAGGTCATGGATCTTTATTAAAAACCTTCTTCCTGCATTAAACAAGAGCTAGAAGAGAGCCTTTAATGAAACACAGCCTTGGTCCCAGATTTTGCCTCTTTCTGCTAATTCTCACCTAATTCTGCAGGCTGGGCCCAAAGATGTGTGAAAGATCACTTCCCAGCTTCCAAGCCCCAGCTCTGAGGCTGCAGCCCAGTCCCACAGTTTGCACTCCCAACAGAAGCAAATTCAGCCTCCAGCTCTCCCCAGGTGTGCAGGCATAGCCCCTCAAACACCTCCAAACACCCCCAGAACACCCACCCGCAGCCCGTCGTCCGCGTCCTTCACGTAGCCCTTCTCGTAGAGCTCCTGGGGAACGTTCAGGATACGCTTCTGGAGGTCGTTTTCCTGCCAGTCCACTCGGAGACCTGAAAGACAAACACCACCCTCCTGGCTCCCCGTGCTGCAGGGCTCAGAGAGAACCCACGTGTGGGACATGGGGGACACGAACAGCAGCGACAGCTCCACGAGGAACCAGGCTGGAAGCACCCAAAAAAGGGAGAATGTGGAAGGTAAACAGACATTCCTCGTTTCTGGGGAGCAGATCTTTTCATCCAACACATTACATCCCCCTCCATCTACCTGTGAGAAGCAGGTTGTTATTTACAGTGTTTTGAAAGGCCAGAGAGCTTCCACGGAAGCAGAGTATGGGCTGTGGGCTCCAAAACTGCACACAGTCATGGAATGGTCTGGGTTGGAAGGGACTTTAAGATCATCTCTTTCCAACCCCCTGCCATGAGCAGGGACACCTTCCACTAGACCAGGTTGCTCTAAGCCCTGGGTGTATCAGGTGAGCCCATGAGCATAAGCTGTACTCTAAGAAACAACCTTTTCCATGTTTCCTCACCTCTCCAAATCCCTCCTACCTGTCCTCCCCTGCATGCTGCCAATTCCTCCTACCACCCTCCATGCTCACTCCATCACTGATGTAACTGCTTCCAAGTGTGGTGGGCAAATACCACTAACTTGAAACCCTGAACAGATAGAACATCCCTAGGAACACATTTCTGAGCACAGAGCTCCTTAAAAATTAGACATGTTGAAGGGGAAAAAAAATTAGGATGATCTTGATAAGCACAGGGCAAATTCCTTCTTACCACTGCCACTCCAAGGAAGGGTCGGAATGCCGGCGGTCTGAGCCACGATGGAAGAAGCAATTTTATCTCCTAAGGCCCACATGGCTTGGCTTGGAGGACCTGCAAAGAGCAAAGACAACGCATGAGAGAGACATGAGCAAAATCAAACATGAGGGAAATGTCCAGAAGTCTAATTTAGGTAAAACTCCACTCTTCCCATAAAACTGAACCTCTTTAAAATGAGAACAGGGACATTCAGGAAATCTTTTCTGATTCCTTATCTCAGTATTCAAAGATATGCTGGAGAACTTGCCCCTTCTTCCATACAAGGACCACTGTAAAGAACAGATCATCCGTCTTGCCCTTGCAAACCATTCCTCAGGGCTCTCTTTTACACTCAGGATTTTCTATCTCACTAAACCTGCCCATCTTAAAGTAAGGACCAGACATCAGACCAGCAGTGTATCTCCTCACCCATGAAAGCAATCCCGTTTTTGTGCAGGAGTTCTGGCAGTTTAGGGTTCTCAGATGCATGGCCCCAGCCAGCCCACACAGCCTGCAGGAGAAAACAGCATAATTCACCCTTTGTTGGAGGAAAACAAGCAAGTGAGCAGAAACAGAAGCACTTCAGGTCGTTTTTTCCCTCACTGAAAATACCCTCAGAACATTCAAAAGTCAGACCAGTTCCTGAACTACATGGTGTGTTTGGTTTAAAGGCTGTCTTGTATCTTGTAGGCAAGTCCAAGCAGGCTGCTGCAGCAACCTGCTGAGGAGGAACTGGGTGCAGGAAAGGGAAAGGGTGAAGGGAACCTCCCATCTCCTGCAGATATTCCTACTGGGAGATCACTGCACTGCAACATGCATTGCCTTTGGGTGCTGATACAGGTTTGTAATTTCAATTTCTTTGTCCTGCCTTGTTCACCAGATACCACTTGTTACTGAAGGAGAGAAGATTGCTCGGTGTTGCCTCCTGTTCTGGAAAGTATCTGTGACACTTCTCACCTGCACTGGAATCCTCTTGGCAATGTCAAGGATGAGTTCCACGTTTGCATAGTTGTTGTTGTTGGGTCCCCCTGGAACGGGCACGTAGTGATCTGCCATTTTAATATACTCTGCAACACAAAGTAGGTCTCATTTAGGTTGCAAATCTAACAACAGTACTTGGTCTAAAACTCCCTAAAATCTGCAGTTATGGAAGTATCACAGAGTCACAGAATCACTGAGATTGGAAAAGCCCTCCCAGACCATGGAGTCCAACCTGTGATCATTCCCCACCTTGTCCCCCAGCCCAGAGCACTGAGTGCCATGGTCAGTCCTGCCTTAGACACCTCTGGGGCTGGGGACTCCACCACCTCCCTGGGCAGCCCCTGCCAAGGCCTGACCACCCTTTCCACGAAGAAATTCCTTCTGATGTCCAACCTGAGCCTCCCCTGGCACAGCTGGAGGCCGTTCCCTCTCCTCCTGTCCCTTGTTCCCTGGGAGCACAGCCCGACCCCCCCTGGCTCCCCCCTCCTGTCAGGGAGTTGCAGAGCCAGAAGGTCCCCCCTGAGCCTCCTTTCCTCCAGGCTGAGCCCCCCCAGCTCCCTCAGCTGCTCCTCATAGGACTGACTCTAAAAAGTACTTCTCTCCTCCCAGACATCCCTGTTACTGTCAGAACACGACGTAGTGGACACGCATTCCACCCTTGCATCCCTCTGGACACGCAGGGGAGTGCCAGGAGAAGGCTGTGCACCTTCCCCAGGTTTACAACTCACCTGCATTGGCCTTCAGGTCCTCAGGAGTCACCATGACAACAAATCTGATGGCCCTTTCATTCCTGAACATCTCGTAGGACCAGCGCCGGATGGACCTCATGCACTTCACTGCTGCAATGCCATTATTTGCTATCAGCACCTGAGGGGATTAGAAGCTGGGATGAAACAGAGCCTAAATGGCACAAAACACTAAACAGTTATGCAAACAGGTTTTTCCTCTGCAGACTTTTTTGCCCAGTTTGGGGCTGTGCAGTTTCCTTGGCCAGCATCCAGTTCGTGGCCCAGCAGTTAATTCAGAAGCCAGCTCTTGATCCACCATAAAATTTTAATGTATTATGTTTTGGTTGGACTAAAGAGCAGAAGGGCACAGAGAACAGGTAAAACAAGTGGCTAAAACTTCCAATAGTTGATAGAGACCTCATCCATCAAATTATGTATTTTTAAATATATTTTTTAGTGTTTTTCCAGTCCACCTTTGTTATCCCTGTCTATAAAACCCCCTGGATCAGCAGAAGTGCTCTGGCTAACTCATATTTCTCTTCCTCTCACATTCAGCTAAAACAATGAGATGTTTATTTATCATATATAAAAGAGAAAGGAAACACAATGATTCCAGGCAGAAGTACAACTTCCAAACTCAGGAATATTAATAATTTGATACCTGCAACCTACAGCCTTAGAGAGAGAGAAGTCACAGCTCAGGAGAGGGGAGCAAAATGCAATATGCTAAAAGGGGTCAGTAACTTGCCTTTTCAATAACTTTATTTCCTCCAAACCGAGTGACAAATTCTGCTGGAGAAGCAACAGTGAAATCCCTCTGCACATCAACCTTCTTCCTGTCCCGGCCCTGCTTGACAAGGTGCAAACCAGACATGCTGGGCCTGAGCAAATCGTGGGAAACAGAAACAACTCGTCAGTGCAGAAGATATGGGAATATTTTGTAAAGTTCCCCTTGACCACATTCCCCAAGCAGAGGAGCAGAATCCCTCCTTGCCTCCAGACCCCCATGGCCTGCTCCTCAGTTTTACAGGATGGCTCTTCTTCAGTTCTCTCAAAAATCCAGGTTATCTGGAGAAATTCCGGCTGTGCCAATATATGAATAGGTAAAAATATGTTCACCATATGTTGCTGCCCAACACAGAACAACAGTGTTCCACCAGCCTGCTTTCAATCCATCTAGGGAAGCTGGGAAACAACCACAGTGATTTCTGGCTTTGGCAAAACAAGCTACAAAGATCAGCCTCTGTAAGGAAATCCTCTTGGGGAAGAACAGCAAATACATCTCCAGGTGGAAACGAGAGACTCAGACTGGCTATGGAAATCATTTTCCAAGAGTTTTCCACTCTCCAGTCTTTAACATCTTCCTCAAAAGCTCTGAGAGCCAGAGGACAAATTAATCACGTTACTTCTACTACACACAGAGAAAGCCAGTTCTGTGTCTGCCGAGACCAGCCCCGTGTCCTGCCACCGCCTTTGTGTGGGAATGGCACAGTCACTTCCCGTTCTTCTGCTTCAGCTTCCACAGCAACAACAGGGATAAATCACCCTTTGGCTTTGATTTGGTGAGGTTGGAAAAGCTGAAACTGTGAGAGGAGACACAACAGAAAAGCCAAAACCTGCTCTTCACACCGTGTGTCTGCAGGGAGCAGCATGATGGGGAAATAACGGGACACTTTTTATCTCGCAGGCCCTGAAGTGTTACCTCCCAGATCACCCTATGTTTTACTGATCTTTTACTGTATTTCCTGTGCTTTTCCTAACGCCCCTGCCACCAGCAGGACCACAGAACCCTTCTGCAGGAATGAGCATTGGGAAGGTGTTCAAAAATCAAACCAGAGCTTTGGAAAGACCCAACAGCACCCAAAGGGTTGGTGCCACTGGAGGGGCGGGCACTGGCACCATCTGTGCCCAGGAGCCACAGGGAGCCCCCAGGAACCTCTGGCCTAATCAGCTGCTGAGGAGCTGCTCCCATTGAGCAATTCCACTGGGAAATGGGATAGGATTCAGCAGAAAGCAGCTGGAATGGCTGGGGGAGGGCACAAAGGGGAAACCAACCCCAGGAGAAGTCAAGGCACGTACAACATCTTCTACCAACACAGCCACCAAGGCCAGGTAGCCCAAGAGCTGTACCTGGAAGTTCCCTGCCCCAGGTGAGGGCTGGAGCATCCCAGCTGGAATGAGCTGCTGTTAGAGGGGCCTGGCCACATCCTGACAGGAGAGACACGTATTCCCCCTCACATTCCCTGACAAATATATTATGGCCTGTGAAGATTTGTCCATGTGGAACACAGACCCTCCTGAACCCTTCACCAGGAGCACAGTAACACCACAGACCAGCACCTTGATAAACCAATCTGCTGGTGAAAGAAGCCCTGACCAAACTGTTCCAGACTGTCCTAGAAGGAAAAACAACCCTCCAGGTAAGGCAAGATCAGTGCCCAGAGCTGACCATAAAGACATGCTTATCTACCACACTCAGGGTGGAGGATCCTTCCCCCCCTCCACCTTCACAGACACCATCTCCTGGGGCTGGGACATCCTGCTGTGCACAACCCTGACGTCCTGAGGACTTCCAGAACAGCATGGAAGCACATTTGCAGCACTTGAAATTCAAGCTTTCTCTCCCACACGTGAGATGCTCCCACAACAAATGGCTGGTGGAGAGCTTCAAGTTATAGCCTTGGAACGTTGAGCTTGACTGGGACATGCAAACCTGTTCCAAGCACAGTGGAAGGGAATTTAAAGCAATCCACGAAGCCAAGAATGGGAGAAGTGAAGGTAACAGGAAAACCAGAACAAAAGGATGATTTTAGAGCCTGCAAAAAACCAGATGTCTGTCTCCCAGTGACATTCTGGGACACATAAATGGCTTTACTAGGTCAGACCAACTACATCCAGTCTAGTAACTTATCTCAGAGAAGAGTAGGTAGCTGATACTCAGAGAAAGGCAAAGAACAAGCTCTGTGTGCACAAGTTCATCCCTTTGTACTTTCCCTCCTTCCAGTAAGCTGCACTTCCAGACATGGTCACTGAACTTAGAATGTGTTCCTGTGAGCAAAAGTTCACACACTCCTGTGAATCTCAGGAGTCCACAGGCAAGAAAAAGAGGAAATGTGTAGTTAAGGTTGAATTTCTGCTAAATTTGTGTATTTAGGGGGTCAGAGTCTTCATGGCAAGGAAGGAGCACAGTCTCACAAGAGTGAGACAGGTTTATTCATTGCAGGATTATTGAGAGCAGTCTCAACAAAAATAGAAAAAAGGTAAAGATCCTGAGGTCAGAATTTCAGAACATGTTTAGATATGAACTGTCCTGCCAACCTGAAATTACTACACACAAAGATACTGCCACGGGTACAGTGTCAACAGAGCCACAGGTTCAGCACCCAGAATAGTGCACAAACACTTGTTTATAAGCAGGTACAGCTCAGTTTAACTTGTGAGCATACCAAAAACATCAAGTTTACTTATTAATAACCACAGGCTGCACATTGTAACCAAAACATAAGAGTTTGGTTTTTTTTTTTTACTGGGTAAGGTGAGGTAGAAGTTGGGCAGCAAGGAAGAAAACACACTGAGCTCTGAACAAAACAGAGTAAATGCTGAGTTAGTGACTGGCAACCCTATTAATCACCTGGCCACAACTGCAGCGTTCTGTGATGGAGGAATTTCCAAAGTGTTCACCCCTCCTTCAGAATTTACAGGGGTTAGAAGTCGTGCAGCATCTTAAACTTTTCTAACCCAGATTCCCCAGCTGGAATGCATCTGGCATCTCCATTACACACTGCATGCACAGCACTGCGAGCTTCCAGAGGACAAAACGAACACCAACATCTCAGGAAGCATTTCCAGGACAGAGCCCAGCTACGAGGAAACGATCAGATCAGTCATTCTTACCTCTGCAGCATGTGATACCTCATCTCCTGACTCTGCTCTGCAGAATCCTCCATGCTGCCTCAGCGCAGCAATTAACAGATCTCAGGGCTCGCTTACCACTCGTCTAACGAAGCTGCAGCTATTTTATTGCTGCCAATTCTGCAGCTCCGAGCCCGGCAGGGAAAAAGCTGCCAAGAGCCTCCTGCCCTCGCGTGGCTCCTCCTCGGAGCAGCGGCACTTCCCCGATTGCTTCAGTCCCGTAACCTCTGTCCCCTTGGCTTCCACCAGCCCCGTGTGCCCCTTCCCGTGACGCAGCAGGCACGGAGGGGACCGGCCTCCCTGGCGTCACTGGCAGGGAAGCAGCTGATCAGGAAAGAGAGAAAATGAGCTACAGGTTATGTAAGGAGGTTTAAACGCGCGGCACCCGCACACGGGGCTGCTCCGGGCCACGCTCCCAAAAGGGGGGTCACGATCCCAAAAGGGGGGTCACGATCCCAAAAGGGGGGTCATGATCCCACAGCAGGGGTCACACTCCCAAAATCAGGGGCTGCGCAGCCTCCCACCCCTCTGTCAGCATCCACAAGGACTCTACTCCAGGGGCAGGGGAGCACATCCTCAGCAGCGGTTTTGGGGTGGGTTGGGGTGGGTTCGGGAGGGGGTTCGGGGTGGTTTGGGGGCGTTGAGATGGTTTAGGAGGTTTCGAGGGGGGGTTGGGGTGTTTGGGGGGGATTGGGGGATTTGGGGTGGGTTTTCGGGGGGCTTTGGTGGTTTTCTGGTGGGTTTGGGGGATTTTTGGGGAGGTTTGAGGGAGTTCTGCAAGGTCAATCTGCCCCAAGAGTTCAGGCAGCGTGTGTGGGATCTGAGGCTGGGTTTTCAGGAGGGGTGGGGAGGTGGCAGGGAAAGCGTTTCCAGGGATGCAGGAGGGCACAGGGACAGCAACACACTGTGGAGTGAGGGCAGCCTCACACTGCAAATAAACCTCATCAGAGACAGGAGGTGCCAGGGAGAGAACAGAATTTAACAAACCAAAACATCCCAAAATGACGTAGCTACCCAGGAAGTCAACACCTCTCACCTGCCAGCCTTTGTTCCTCTGTAAAGACCAGCTCAAACTACCCAATCATTAGGTACACCAGAAATTCCCCACTTAATTCATGTTAAAACAGAAGTACACAAGAAAAAGCAACTTGTCCTGCGATATTTTCCAGCCCTGTCTCCATCCTGAGCAGCCTCACACCACACCACTCACCCAGATGGTACCAATCCCTGCTCTCACCTTCCACAGGGAGCCAATCCTGCCTCCCACACCCAGCACATCTGGCTCCAGCCACGGAATTCTGCTCTCCCAGGTTCTTCACCATTTCCAGACAAGCCATCACAAGGACAGGGAATCACGAATTTGCAGACTCAGATAAAATCTGTGCCACTTTCTCTTCTGGTCATCCCTACGTGAGACCAGCAAAGCCCAGCAAACACCCAGTGACTCCACTCCACGTTTCATGTAGTCCATGGTATATTCCACCACTTTCAAAACAAAATACCTGCACAGTCTGTGGTTCCTTGGGATACCCCGGGTTTGATCTCGAGATTAAAATCTACACACAGTATAACTGAAATTTGATTTTTCAGGTTTTGTGAGAACAGTGTCCTAAATATTTGCCTTTCTCCATAAAAACCACCCACAGCCCCCAGTCCAAACGATTCCTGACCATTGTGGCTGCAAGGAAACAAATCCTGTGTGTACACACAGCTCGATGTGGCACTGGTTAAAAACATCCCCTGCTATGAAGGAAATGGCCACGATTTGCTGCTGGAGGAGCAAATCTGGAGGAGCAGCTTCAGCATTGGTTAAAAATATTCCCTTCTGCCAGCTGAATCTGCTGCTGTGAAATCAATGGCCACGATTTGCTGCAGCATCCCCACAAAAATAAGCTCCACGAGGATGTGTCACTGATACAGGACTTACCACCCAACACACACACACACTCCCCAAAGCTCACTTTCGACA